AACTTTGCACACAAACTGTACACAAACGGTGGACTGACAAAGAGCCCCAATGTTCACTCTTTCTTGCTATATCTTCAATCTCAACCCGTGAGGATCCTGGTTAGAATGAACCTTCAGTAACCCATGCTTGTCGTAAGAGGCGACTAACGGGATCGGGTGGTCAGGCTCGCTGACTTGGTTGACACATGTCATCGGTTCCCAATTGCGCAGATCGATGCTCCTGCTGATGATCACTGGATTGTCTGGTCCAGACTTGATTATTTACAGACCGCCGCCATATACATATAGCTGGAATATTGCTGAGTGCGGTGTAAAACTAAACTCACTCACTCTTCAATCTCAAGTGATAATACCAAACACCGATAGACAGAAGTTTCTCGCTGTCGTGTTTAGATTCCACGAATCGTCTCCCTTTCACCACTCAACTCCAGGACGTGTAGATAGCTTGGTCAATAAGGCAGCTGGAGTTGCTCCCCTTTAACATGCGTTATCGGCGACTGTGTCCGTAAAGGATAACATTAGAGAACGGGGCTGTGTTGATGAATAATAAGAGAGTGAGTTTAGTTTTACACCGGTTTTAGCAATATTCCAGCAATATCATGGCGGGGGACACCAGAAATGGGCTTCACACATTGTACCCATGTGGGGAATCGAACCCGGCCTTCAGATTGTCGACCAGACGCTTTAACCACTATGCTACCCGATGCCCCTGGATAAAAAATGACCTGTATTTAAGCGGCAATGTTTTAAGAATATGTTGGATGATATAAGCACATACATCAATTAAAGTGTAATCAGAGGCTGATCCGAGAACACTGCAATGTTACCCGTGACGATCCAGGTTAGAATTGATCTCCAGCAACCAATGCTTGTCGTAAGAGGAAACTAAAGGGATCGGGTGGTCAGGCTCGCTGACTTGGTTGACACATGTCATCGTATCCCAGTTGCGTAGATCGCTGTTCATGCTGTTGATCACTAGATTGTCCTGTCCAGACCGCCGCCATATATTGCTGGAAATGATATATTGGGTCGTTGACACAAATATTTCAGTGGTCAGCATTCCATGAAATTCATTCTGAAAGGTGAAAAAAAGCGATGAAACACTAAGAAGATATCTGAAAAATATCAGCGAGACTTAAAACTCCATTACAGTTTTAATAACCAGAAGAAATTCTATATACGACACTTTATTCTTGGGGCGATGAGGTATCACAATATGTGGTTAAAGCGTTCGCTCGCCACGCTGAAGACTCAGGTTCGAGTCCCATCATGAGTACAATGTGTGAAGGCCATTTCTGGTTTCCCCCGCCGTGATTTTGTAGTAATGTTGCTGAAAGCGTAAAACCAAGCTCATTCACCCGTCATCTCTGTGGATGAAAAAATCCCCATGGAGCCACTGAATATAAGGAAAGGTATTTTTCGGATGATAACTTCTTCATTATATTATGATGCGATACTCCAGTACAGGCACTTATTGTCGACAAACATCATCATTTATTTCTCGAAACCACCCACGGTGGTACATGATACATAATGGCATATATATATATATATACAATAAACATCAAGATGACAGAACATACATGAATATAAATTATAAATCATTTGTAATACCTCAGATAGAACATGAATACATCTACATGGATAAGTCAAACATATCAGATATACACACAAATGTACAACATGTCATACGAATAAACCAGGCATGGAAACAAATAACGGATGGAGTTTTTTTATGGAATGTAGGGATTATCTCCTAAGTTTTGATGATATTAATTTAAAGGTATCTGGAAAGGTTACGTAGGATGCTTGTCTCTTTTGATTGAAGAAGGATTGCCATTTTAGATAAGTTTGGGAATTGGCAGAATCTTTTGGAAATATATATAGAGCTCTCTTGGGTGAAGGTTTCGCACTTGAAAAAATAATGGAACTCGTCTACCATAGCAGGTGAGTTACAGAAAGGACAAAGTCTTTCAGCTCTTGGTACTCCACTCCATCGGCCTGTTTCCACAGGAAGTTATCAAAATCTAACTGAACAAACCGAAGCATTACTTGAGAGAACTTAGTTACACCTATTTGGAAATGTAATATATACGCTTGTATATCTTGATATATAAAGGTTCTCTTCCTAGTTCCCCATATAGCATAACATTTGGTGTAGAGTTTCGTAGGCCGGCAGCGTGCTTATGAAATTTTAGATGATCTTGTTCAATTAAGTGTAGGTTTTCAAACCCCCAAACTTCTGAGCCATATGTTAAAATTGGAACAACCAAAGTGTCAAATGCTGATGATAAACAGTCTAGCGGTAAGTTGATATTTCGAGACTTCCTGAGTAGAACATACATTGCTTTTTGTGCATTTTCGCATACAGTTTTTATTGCATATATAAATCGTCTATTTCTATGCATGTTAATTCCAAGATAATATAGGAATCAACTATCTCTAAACAATTTCTACCGTAGAAAAAGGCAAATTTTGATGATATAGCAGGACCGCCTCCAAATATAACAACTTTAGTTTTCACAATAGTAACGTTTAACTAAATCATAATTAAAAGCATTTATGGACTTTTGCAAGCCGTCTGGTGTAACATCAAAAATAGCAGTGTCATCAGCATAAAGTAATACAATGAATTGAATCAACATAATATCAATGGAATTATCTAGATTCCTAATGTCAACGTTAACACCCTCACATCCCTTAGAATATAAATAAGATTCCATGTCATTCAGGAATAGGGAGAAAAGTAAAGGATAGAGGTTCTTTCCTTGTCGGACGCCAGTAAGGCATGGGAAGTTGTATTATTTACTTGTACTAGCGATTTTATATCTTTATACATATTAACTACTAAAGTAAAAAAGAGTAAAGTACTACAGCACAGAACAGACTTATATACATCTAATCGGGATTAACAGAAACAACATAAGGGTATACATGAAAGGGATTAACAAAACCAACTACGGATCTAGCCATGTGATTAAGAAATATATAGATAGATATGAACGAAATATCAATATACAAATCACTGAATCCATTGAAATCAAACCTCAACACAGCTTTTTCAATGGTTAAAACACGAACAAATAATAAAATCACTGTCTGGTCAGCATCGATACCACTGGAACAATTCCTCTTATCACAGACACATTCAAAGTGTACTAACTTCTTCTGAGCCATGTTAGTTCATAAAACGAACAGTGATATTGTAGTAAGACAAGGGCGCTATATCTGCCGGCTACTGTTAATCACCTGTGTCGCTAAGTCTTATTTACCAATTTCTAAGGTGCATTGTATGATTTAAACTATGCTATTTCCCAAAAGAATGGGATTAGTGAACCGACAGAGGCTATTTTAACACCTCTCCCTAGAAATACATATAACAATTGTTAGGTTGGAGGGAGGGGAGGTATGGGATGCATTTTCACAACAATCTAACGTTTTCAAGTTCAAATATACCAATATGTATAATTCCAGAATTTAACAAGTATTTAGAACAACTGTACAAAGCACAACCATTAATTCACATCCTGACTATAGTTTAATCGTTTTAAAGGCGGATAACTCTGTGTCATCCACATATATCTGTGAGTCTGCATCTGCTAAAGAATAATGACTAACTGGTATCAAACCTACGCAGATCGGATACGTCATTAGTTCTCCATGGTGATGACCTAAGGTCAGATTGTGGCGGACTACTTTCCTGATTGTAATATAGTCTTGCTTCGGCCGTACTCACTTACATCCGAGTCGCAACTTTATGGTTTTAGGGTGTTAAAAAATGTACTTAGAAAGCAATTGGTCAGAAATGACGGTGCTGTGGTCCTCGTTCTTTTGAAACGTATCACCCCCTTATGCTTATTCGATACGTTTTGAAACACCATGTGGTAAGTTAAAGGGTATTTAACAGACATAGACACAGAGACACAGACACAGACATTATATCAATCTGACAGACAATGAACGTGACACCATTGCCATTTACCTCCTTTGTATTGATTAAATTTCTAAATCATAAAGTTCATCTTTTATCGCACCATCTGCCCCGTGGAATGTAATAAATTATTCAACTCTACTGTTGAAGTTGACATTCTGCATGGGAAGTCTGTCTTCCACATGCACTAGGCTGTTGCATTTACCTTAGAGTATAAATGACCTCACCACGTTTCAGTTTATATACGACTATCAAATTTTAGGGTGTTAACATATATTTTGTTTGTAGTGTATATAAGATGAGAAAGCACTTTGTCACGGGGACAGATGCACAAAATATGCATTGCTCCTATCAATTTTTACTCTGTGTTACTATTCATGTTTGCCAAGTGCTATATTCATATTTATCGACTGTTATTCACTGTACGTTTATCTATAACAGATTCCCCATACAATGAAAAACGCAGTTTCTCACGGGGATGTATGTACAAAACATGCATAGCTACATCAACAACTGCTACTATTCATATTTAACAACTGCTGCTATTCATATTCACCAACCACATCTATTCATATTCATCAACTGCTACTATTCATCTTTAACAACTGTTGCTATTCATATTCACCAACTACTACTATTCATATTGAGCTGATGCTGCTATTCATATATTCCAATCACTACTGTTCATATTCACCAACTACTACTATTCATATGCATCAGTTGCTACAATTCATATATACTTAACGATGAGACATATTTAACAACGGCTTTCTATTCATATTCACCTCAAATATATCTGTACTAACAAGTTAGATTCACATTTAAAAATAAATACAAATGAACAAAGCAGTTTGTCCCGGGTCATGCATAAACTAAATATGCAAAGCTTCTACTATTCATACACATCGGTTACTACTATTCATATTTATAATATGGAACTAAATAACTTAAGTAACCGATGGCGCATTTCAGATGAAGTTGACGTCATCTAAAAAAATCAATATCAAAGGTAAATGCCAGATAATAACCAGTCTCGATTGTCAAATTTCACGTCAAAATAGCGATGAAATGAATGTTAAACATGTATTAAAAAGGCAGCACAACTTGACTTTGTTGGCCCATTTTGTGATGATGACATGGAACCTTTCATAGAAAACAGTTTCATCACTCTTCGACGTGATATTTCATTGACATTTTTTTGTACCTTCATCAGGCCATGTTTTCAGCCATACGAACTCTTATGCATTCATGTTAAATAATCTTTTAAATGGCAATCGAAGTTTTGTTTCATCTTATCTTTAGCCTGAGGTAATACATAATACTCCTATAAGAATTAAGCAATGGTAGGACATCCTGTTTCGTAAATGCTGTTTACAGGTATATATAATGACATTCTGCTGTCATTATTGCAAACTGTTAGTCTCCTATCACACCATAATAGTGATTGTCGGGTTCTGTTTGGTGTTTGCCGACACAATATTAGAGCGGAGATCTACAAATAATCCAGTCTGGACCAGACAATCCACTGATTGACAGCATCATCATCTATCTACGTAATTCATACACAATGACATTCTTGGACCATTCCACCAAGGTGATAAGACCAATCCTAGCTCAGATCGTGACTGGTCGATTGTCCGGTTTGGTCTCATGTTATCTTGCTGAGCTAGCCATTTCGATTAGCGTCGTGTTATCTCCTTTTAAGGTCGATTCATAGTTTTTTAAGTCTCTTGTTTCTCGTAACAGCACACGTAACATACCAGAACAAATTACATTAGCTACAGTTTTTAAATTACTTGTGTCCTCAATCCAGTTATTGCTCACATTTATGACGACATTTCTGAACATGACCAAATATACTGCACAGGCTGCAGGTCTGCATGCATTTGTGTCCACAAGCGAGTTGCTCCTCACATTTGCCAAAGCATGAGTAGCTTTTCTTTGAAACTTGACACTGCATCGGAGAAACGTGTCCACATTTCAGTGTTACATTGACTATCTCATCACACTTTTCCATGCAGCCATTTCGTGCGCAGTCTCCACAAATCCCTTTGCATGGATGGCCACAGGGACTGACCAACCATTCTGCACTGGCTGCAGGTCTGCATGCATTTGTGTCCACAAGCGAGTTGCTGCTCACATTTACGAGAGCACTTGTAGCTTTTCTTTGAGACTAGACACTGCATCTGATAAACGTGTCCACATTTCAGTGTTACATAGACTATCTCGTCACACTTTTCCATGCAGCCATTTCGTGTGCAGTCTCCACAAATCCCTTTGCATGGATGACCACAGGGACGTACCTTTGTACAAGGCTGTAGGCATCTCTTTGTAAAGCTGAACTGTGACATTCAGTCTCAATAGCATGTCCACATGGAAATGTATGTTTCGTTGCGACAACACACTTCTTAACATGACCAAACATTCTGCACTGGCTGCAAGTTTGCGTGCATTTGTGTCCACAAGCGAGTTGCTGCTCACATTTACGAGAGCATTTGTAGCTTTTCTTTGAGACTTGACACTGCATCAGAGAAGCGTGTCCACATTTCAGTGTAACATTGACTATCTTATCACACTTTTCCATGCAGCCATTTCGTGTGCAGTCTCCACAAATCCCTTTGCATGGATGACCACAGGGTCGTACCTTTGTACAAGGCTGTAGGCATCTCTTCTGTAAAGCTGAACTGTGACATTCAGTCTCAATAGCATGTCCACATGGAAATGTATGTTTCGTTGCGACAACACACTTCTTAACATGACCAAACATTCTGCACTGGCTGCAAGTTTGCGTGCATTTGTGTCCACAAGCGAGTTGCTGCTCACATTTGCGAGAGCATTTGTAGCTTTTCTTTGAGACTTGACACTGCATCAGAGAAGCGTGTCCACATTTCAGTGTAACATTGACTATCTTATCACACTTTTCCATGCAGCCATTTCGTGTGCAGTCTCCACAAATCCCTTTGCATGGATGACCACAGGGACGTACCTTTGTACAAGGCTGTAGGCATCTCTTCTGTAAAGCTGAACTGTGACATTCAGTCTCAATAGCATGTCCACATGGAAATGTATGTTTCGTTGCGACAATACACTTCTTAACATGACCAAACATTCTGCACTGGCTGCAAGTTTGCGTGCATTTGTGTCCACAAGCGAGTTGCTGCTCACATTTACGAGAGCATTTGTAGCTTTTCTTTGAGACTTGACACTGCATCAGAGAAGCGTGTCCACATTTCAGTGTAACATTGACTATCTTATCACACTTTTCCATGCAGCCATTTCGTGTGCAGTCTCCACAAATCCCTTTGCATGGATGACGTGATATTTCATTGACATTTTTTTGTCAATTCATCAGGCCATGTTTTCAGCCATACGAACTCTTATGCATTCATGTTAAATAATCTTTTAAATGGCAATCGAAGTTTTGTTTCATCTTATCCTTAGCCTGAGGTAATACATAATACTCCTATAAGAATTAAGCAATGGTAGGACATCCTGTTTCGTAAATGCTGTTTACAGGTATATATAATGACATTCTGCTGTCATTATTGCAAACTGTTAGTCTCCTATCACACCATAATAGTGATTGTCGGGTTCTGTTTGGTGTTTGCCGACACAATATTAGAGCGGAGATCTACAAATAATCCAGTCTGGACCAGACAATCCACTGATTGACAGCATCATCTATCTACGTAATTCATACACAATGACATTCTTGGACCATTCCGCCAAGGTGATAAGACCAATCCTAGCTCAGATCGTGACTGGTCGATTGTCCGGTTTGGTCTCATGTTATCTTGCTGAGCTAGCCATTTCGATTAGCGTCGTGTTATCTCCTTTTAAGGTCGATTCATAGTTTTTTAAGTCTCTTGTTTCTCGTAACAGCACACGTAACATACCAGAACAAATTACATTAGCTACAGTTTTAAATTACTTGTGTCCTCAATCCAGTTATTGCTCACATTTATGACGACATTTCTGAACATGACCAAATATACTGCACAGGCTGCAGGTCTGCATGCATTTGTGTCCACAAGCGAGTTGCTGCTCACATTTGCCAAAGCATGTGTAGCTTTTCTTTGAGACTAGACACTGCATCGGATAAACGTGTCCACATTTCAGTGTTACATTGACTACCTCATCACACTTTTCCATGCAGCCATTTCGTGTGCAGTCTCCACAAATCCCTTTGCATGGATGGTCACAGGGACGTAGCTTTGTACAAGGCTGTAGACATCTCTTTTGTAAAGCTGAACTGTGACATTCAGTCTCAATAGCATGTCCACATGGAAATGTATGTTTCGTTGCGACAACACACTTCTTAACATGACCAACCATTCTGCACTGGCTGCAGGTCTGCATGCATTTGTGTCCACAAGCGAGTTGCTGCTCACATTTACGAGAGCATTTGTAGCTTTTCTTTGAGACTAGACACTGCATCTGATAAACGTGTCCACATTTCAGTGTTACATAGACTATCTCGTCACACTTTTCCATGCAGCCATTTCGTGTGCAGTCTCCACAAATCCCTTTGCATGGATGACCACAGGGACGTAGCTTTGTACAAGGCTGTAGACATCTCTTTTGTAAAGCTGAACTGTGACATTCAGTCTCAATAGCATGTCCACATGGAAATGTATGTTTCGTTGCGACAACACACTTCTTAACATGACCAACCATTCTGCACTGGCTGCAGGTCTGCATGCATTTGTGTCCACAAGCGAGTTGCTGCTCACATTTACGAGAGCATTTGTAGCTTTTCTTTGAGACTAGACACTGCATCTGATAAACGTGTCCACATTTCAGTGTTACATTGACTATCTCGTCACACTTTTCCATGCAGCCATTTCGTGTGCAGTCTCCACAAGTCCCTTTGCATGGATGGCCACAGGGACGTAGCTTTGTACAAGGCTGTAGACATCTCTTTTGTAAAGCTGAACTGTGACATTCAGTCTCAATAGCATGTCCACATGGAAATGTATGTTTCGTTGCGACAACACACTTCTTAACATGACCAACCATTCTGCACTGGCTGCAGGTCTGCATGCATTTGTGTCCACAAGCGAGTTGCTGCTTACATTTACGAGAGCACTTGTAGCTTTTCTTTGAGACTAGACACTGCATCGGATAAACGTGTCCACATTTCAGTGTTACATAGACTATCTCGTCACACTTTTCCATGCAGCCATTTCGTGTGCAGTCTCCACAAATCCCTTTGCATGGATGGCCACAGGGACGTACCTTTGTACAAGGCTGTAGACATCTCTTTTGTAAAGCTGAACTGTGACATTCAGTCTCAATAGCATGTCCACATGGAAATGTATGTTTCGTTGCGACAACACACTTCTTAACATGACCAACCATTCTGCACTGGCTGCAGGTCTGCATGCATTTGTGTCCACAAGCGAGTTGCTGCTCACATTTACGAGAGCATTTGTAGCTTTTCTTTGAAACTTGACACTGCATCTGATAAACGTGTCCACATTTCAGTGTTACATTGACTATCTCGTCACACTTTTCCATGCAGCCATTTCGTGTGCAGTCTCCACAAATCCCTTTGCATGGATGGCCACAGGGACGTAGCTTTGTACAAGGCTGTAGACATCTATTTTGTAAAGCTGAACTGTGACATTCAGTCTCAATAGCATGTCCACATGGAAGTGTATGTTTCGTTGCGACAACACACTTCTTAACATGACCAACCATTCTGCACTGGCTGCAGGTCTGCATGCATTTGTGTCCACAAGCGAGTTGCTGCTCACATTTGCGAGAGCATTTGTAGCTTTTCTTTGAGACTAGACACTGCATCTGATAAACGTGTCCACATTTCAGTGTTACATTGACTATCTCGTCACACTTTTCCATGCAGCCATTTTGTATGCAGTCTCCACAAATCCCTCTGCATGGATGGCCACAGGGACGTAGCTTTGTACAAGGCTGTAGACATCTCTTCTGTGAAGCTGAACTGTGGCATTCAGTCTCAATAGCATGTCCACATGGAAGTGTATGTTTCGTTGCGACAACACACTTCTTAACATGACCAACCATTCTGCACTGGCTGCAGGTCTGCATGCATTTGTGTCCACAAGCGAGTTGCTGCTCACATTTGCGAGAGCATTTGTAGCTTTTCTTTGAGACTAGACACTGCATCGGATAAACGTGTCCACATTTCAGTGTTACATTGACTATCTCATCACACTTTTCCATGCAGCCATTTCGCGTGCAGTCTCCACAAGTCCCTTTGCATGGATGGCCACAGGGACGTAGCTTTGTACAAGGCTGTAGACATCTCTTTTGTAAACCTGAACTGTGACATTCAGTCTTAATAGCATGTCCACATGGAAATGTATGTTTCGTTGCGACAACACACTTCTTAACATGACCAACCATTCTGCACTGGCTGCAGGTCTGCATGCATTTGTGTCCACAAGCGAGTTGCTGCTCACATTTGCGAGAGCATTTGTAGCTTTTCTTTGAGACTAGACACTGCATCTGATAAACGTGTCCACATGTCAGTGTTACATTGACTATCTCATCACACTTTTCCATGCAGCCATTTCGTGTGCAGTCTCCACAAATCCCTTTGCATGGATGGCCACAGGGAAGAGGCCGTGCACAGCGTCCGACGCACTTCGGCAAAATGCAAGGTCTTGATTCATTGTGGCCAAACTGTATCCATTTAGTCACCTTTATCCCAGCATGCAGTGAATTTTCGGCACATTCTCCACAAATACCAGCGCATCTGTGCCCGCAGGACAGACGCACCATGCATAATTTGGTACATGGATGCTCTGTATGTTCTATGTCATTTACATGACAAAGTTTGTCACACGTGTGACCACACTTTAGTCTGACACCGCAGCTCTTTGTACATCCACCACTGGGAGCTTTCTCAAAGTCCCTTGCACTTGAGACTGAAATTGTCATTTCTGGATGGTTCGTACACCTTAATAGCATGTGTGGACCAATAGAGTTTGTTGATTGTAGAGTCCCTACAATACTAGCCCACAATGGGCTTTTCTCTGCAAATAGATGGAAATTCCCAACAGCAAACATCCCTTCCCTTGCTCGTGAGAGCGCAACACAAATCCTATTGTCAATACTCAAGAAGCCAACAGACCCTTCCTCATTGCTGCGGACAAATGACAAAAGGACAATCTTGCATTCTTCTCCTTGAAAATTGTCAACAGAAGTCAAACGGACATCTTGGAACAGGTCAATCTCCTTTCCCATGTGTCTTTTGATTAGTGAGATCTGTCCAGTATAAGCAGCAAGTATTGTGATGTCTGATGCTTCGTAGCCCTGGAGCAGAAAGTACCGACACAAGGCTACAATAAAAGATGCTTCATGTTCATTTGACTTGCTCATAGTTTCATTTAGATGGTGTTCCCTATGTTGGTGGGATAGGAAGAACACGTTCTTGTCAACACCACGGATAGAGTTACATTCTGTAACTGAGATGTGATCTTTTAATTTCGGGTAAATGTGTTTCATTAGAACAGATATCTCTGGTCTCATCCTATGTTGCAATTCTAAAGTCACATGATGTAGCCCATTCTTTACCAGTCGTTCAAACAGCGATATGTCAAGATTGTATTTCCTGGCCAGTTCGTAGACTGTAGGGTTTGGTCTCAGCTGTTGGTGGTCTCCTATTAGAATGAGTTGTTGGCACTCAGGGTTGAGGGTTGTGATTATGTGGGACTCCAAAACTTCAGCCGCCTCCTCTACTATGACAATACGAGGTGCTACAGCTTCAAGAAGACTTGCATGTTTTGCAGCTCCTGTAGTTGTCATTCCAATGATGTCTGCTTGAGAGAGAATGTCTTTATCCTCTTCCCTTAATACTTCCTTTCGTCTCTGGGATAACTGCCTGTATTCCTGTTCTTTATCTTTAATAGATACTTTCCAGTGGTGCTGATACGCTGTTACCCATGTCTTGTACAAAGATTCCCGATCAGTCATATCCAAATCCCACACGTCTCTGCAATGCAGTATTTGTGTATTGATGGGCTGTGCTTCCATTAAAATCCTCTCCAGTCGTTTCTTCTGATTTCGTTTGTGTTGAGCTTGAACCTGTTCATTGGCGCTCTGTTTTCCTTCATGTACTGTAGTGGATAGAAGCGACTGAAAACTAAGAGCCAGGTTATTTATGGCTTTCGACATCTGGGCTGATTGTCTGCTTGATCGGTTTGTGAAAATATCCACCTCATCATCAATATATCTGTGTCCAGTAATGATAGCTGCTGCTTCATCTGCATTTGAGAGCCCTGAACTGATTTCATTCAGTTCCTGAATGGCATCATATAGGTCAACTTCAGCTACATCTACATGAGGTGTAGCTCCAAGCCAAATTTTATTGAGTATTCATCATGATATTCAGAGTATGTGTCCTTGATAAGGTCGTACGCCCGTCTTGGAACAAACTGTTGTAAGCAGGCATCTGGTAGTATAGCCATCGCTGCTTGTCTGAGCTGAGCAGTCAACTTTCGAAGTATGAAGTCTTTACCTTTACCTTTGATAACTGTTTCAGCTTGACACTCTTTCTCAATTTTTCCCTTTTCCCGAGTGACATTTTGTCTGAATTTATCGAGCCATATTTTGTACACATGAGCTCTGTCAACAAATGGCATCGACAAAATATCACCAGCATAAGACGGATCCTCCATGGCTGATTCTTTACATCTGACAAAATCAAGAATTGCTCTTGTCCACTCATCTATGAGTCGCTGGAATGTTGTTTGAACACCAGTACTCACTGGCAGGTGTTTAAACTCAAGCCATGATAAAATTGCCGATTGTTTGCCCACTCTGAACCTGTTTAACAGGCTCCTCCAGTGATGACTTTCCATGTGTGGCCTCAATGTATCCTCATGAAGAACACCGAGCATGCTTGCCTCGATTCTACAACCAACTTCTTCAACTGTGTTTTTGATAGCTGCCATTTTGTCTTTACATTCCAAAAAATTATCATGAACAATTTGCCTCATTCTTTTCTTTCTTCTTCTGTCCATGCGAAGCTCTTTCAGGTTGTAAGGTTCAAGAATTGTGCTACTGCTTCGCCCTCCAACTCGAATGATACCATGTGGATGGAACTTGTGTATTCCTTCAAGGAACTGGTCCAAGGCATGATTGGTGTAACACACAACGAGGATCCCACTGTTGGACCCTAAATGGTCCTTGTTTTTCAAGAGAACTTGCATGATCTTCAACCCTACATATGTCTTGCCTGTGCCTGGTGGTCCCTGAATAATGGCTAGTTCCTTAGCGAGAGCTGTCTTTGCTGCCTGTAGCTGAACCTCATTCAGATCATAAGACCTTTGTGGTGGCCATTTGCTTGTGTTTAGTACTGGTACTGATGTAAGATTGTCCGTGTATTTTCCAAGAGCACTCATATCGTATCGCACATCACGATTTAAATATCCTGGCTGCTGGATGTTTGTTTCACAATGAACAAGATAGCGTTGGAATGGAAGTGAATCTTCAATCTGTTGGAGCCTTGAAAGGACGTGCCTATAAGCTTCAAAATAAGCTGGAGTTTCAGCCATAACAAATGTGTCAGTTGGCGATATGTTGAGAACAATGTCAAAATCTTGCTCAAACCTTACCTGTATGTTCCCCTTTAATAAATCGCGGACAGTTCTATTTGTAACAGTTGCAAAGAGCATGGTCTCAAAGTTGTCCCTTGAGAGACACACTAGTGAACCATAGATCAACCGTTTACTTGACTGCCATCGAATTCTTCCAACACGAGAAACATCAAAAGTCAACCTAGTGTCAATGTCATCAGAACAAACTGAGCGCATTATTTGAACATCATGATACAACCATGTATCTGCAACTTTGTTCGGAGCTTTGTCAAATCTGCTTTGTTTGTACTCCAGTATGCCTTTCCTCAATGGCTGGATGTAATCCTCCCTTAATAACCGGAACTGAACATCAAGGTAGGTGTCTAAGTTAGAGTAGGCTCCCTTGTCTTTGTTCTGTCTCAGGAATGGCTGCTCATCTGACAACAGGTCCTGCGAACTGGGAAACATCTCAAGGTTCCTGTAATTGTCTGGTGGTTCCTCTTCGTCACTTCTGCCTTGACCAAATACTACATGCTGAATGCATGTCCTCTCCAGCTCCGCTCTATGTGCTTCGAGTTCTGGGTTATCATGGATAATATCGCAATCACTGAAAGCACATCCAATACGTTGCAAAGCATCAACGCATTTCCCTGCATACCTTGGGCTTTTCTTCAGTATTTCCTCACATATAACAAACACATGATTAGTGTAGTCTGCAATCTCGTCATAGTGGTTAAGCCGTTCAAAAAAGTTCACAAGATGTGTATCCAGAAAACCTGATGTGCATAGTGTCTTCAGGACCTTTTTCAGTCCTTCCTTGTGATCTGTACTGCATGTTTTGTCAACCACAGCAAGTACAAGCCTGATTTCATCAAATGTCATAGAATGACTATGTAACATTGATTCAAAGCCACTCTTATCACTTGCCAGTTCCAGGGTTATATTTTCTAAATTGTCTTCATCTATGAGATCTCTTAATCGTTCAAATCCCATCTGTCTTCTTTGTCCTCCTCTTCTTCTTCTTCCATGCCCTTGATATTCATCCCTGCGGGTATGGCGTCTTCCTTGGGATCTGTTAATAGCAAAAACAAAAACATTTGATAGAGTTCATAGTTATTTTGTGTATGTACTATTTCAATATTGATACATTATGGAACTGCGCTATCACATCACGTTGCCATATGTAGTGACAACGAAAAACGTCTTTTTATAGAACTGTTTATAGCTATGGTAATGATTCCCATTTATTTACATAAATATAAATGTTTTCATGACAGAAATACAATAAAACGAGTTGAAAAACCGCTTTATATCTTCTAACAAAACTTAGATATATCAAATGGATCAAATTGTGTCTTTAGCTATTTTAGGATTTGGGGCATTTATCTTTTTTTATTTTTTTCCATGGAAACGATTCGGATCTCAAAACGGACGGTGGATTTCCTTTCCGGAGCACCGATTAAAAACTTTTTAAGAAAGACGCTCCATCCCAGCCTGCTACATGTAGTAACCAAAGACTAGAGTGGTGCTTTTTGTAAATTTTAAGAAAATGAATTGACGGCGGTCTGTAAAAATTCAGCCTGAACCAGACAATCCAGTGATCAACATCATAAGCATCGATCTCTATTTGGTATATGATGACATGTATCAGCCAAGTCAGAGAGCATTACCACCCAGTCCCGTTACTCGCCTCTTACAAGCGTGGGCTGCTAAAACCAATTCAAACCCGGATCTTCGTGGGTCCATTCTGAAGGGAGGCATTTATGAACGAATTGTTAATATGCACCTGCCCACTGGTGTACCAAATATGCCTCATTATACTTATCCACTCGAGGTGGTTTCACTCCGTTGAACCCGACAGAACCGGAAGTTGACAGGGGTAATGGAGGCAAAGAACGATATGATATGCCAAGTGTGGCGCTTAAAATGTTAAATGAAGTATATTTTACGCGAGTGATGATTAAATATGAGGTTGGAAATCGGAGAGAACAACCCTGTGAGGAAATGGGGGTCTACCTTTGATGGTGGCGATATTATATTTGGACATTAACAATATTTTTCGAACCGAAGCGAGGTTTCCAACCTTTGCTCGCTTCACTCGCTTATAGGAAGACTGGTCATTTTCCTCTCTGTTGCGCAACCTTATTCGCGCTACAGTTTTTCTGTGTTTCAACAAGGCAAAATGACCAACATGCAATAGTTAATGTTTCCTAATCAGTTTAAATACTGTGGTCGCCGAATGGGATAACACTGCACGAATAGTATTTGTATTTATTGATTTGCACTAATTTCCATGCATTCCAAAACATTGTATTACATGTATGTGTATGCCCAGTTTGGGTATGTTGGTAATATTTTATTGAAATACATTTATTTACATCATTGTCCATACACGTCCATTACCCTGGCAAGTGTTTTATGTCATATATGCCAAGGGTCAGTGACATGAAACCAAACTAAGCACATCCCCATGTGTGCACATATCATTTGGAATATCTGGACAGTTTATTACTTCAAACTTTAGAAATGAAACGTTTCACCTGCTTCAACAGTCCATTCATGTTGTTTTGGGATTTCGTCATTGACGCCTGTTTCAACAGACCAAGCCATTTAGTTGGGGGTTTTTTAATTTCGTCACTGACACCTAGTCCTAACAGACCAGTCCATTCATTTTTTTTAATTTCTTCATTGACGCCTGTTTCAACAGACAAAGTCATTCAGGGTTTTAAAAGGCCTCTTTTAATGTCAGTCTAGATGTATTGGAGGGATTAGATGGCTGCCAACATCGCATGTATTTTTAGGCTGTGTGACAGACGCTTTTGAACATACTTTGTTAACGCTTTCTTTAAGACCAGCATACATACAGACCGACGTCACACAGCTAAAATATTGTTGAATGCAGCGTTTGGCGCAAAATTTAATCAAACGATATGGTATCAATGCTTGATATGACGTCAATAACATTTCTGTTGTGGCTGTGTTTGACAGCAGAGAAGGCGTTTTCATGGTCTTTTCATTCAAGCCTGGTTTCTTTGGTTTAACAATCAATAACCGTTTTACAGAGCTCACAAAATATAAAAGTGTAGTTCCACATAGAACACATGAAGCAAATTTGACCTGACCGTTCAAGCAGAGGGACAGCGTCAAATCTGATCATAATACATATCATGCTATTAGCCATTAACGTGTGTATGGAAAATTTCAGCTTCCATTGTCCCCTGTTCAAGGAAAAGCTGTCCCACGGGCTGTAAATAATGCATCGACGGTGGAATTTCTCGAGTAGGATCTGGGCCTGTTTATGTGCATGTACCCTGTGGAATATTCGGTAATGAGCGGATTTCTTTTGACATTTAACCTTGATATGTCCTTACTGGGGTATTACTTTTTCCATGTGAGGAACGAAACAAGCTTTCTTCCGGAACTGCTAAATACCATCCGCGTATAATGGCATTGTTAACAGAAATGTATTGATCACGTATGGAGAAAATCTTAGTGTTACATAGCAACCTTCATGATATGTTTGTAAATGAAATATTTTACTGCATGAAAGGGGCGGTGGGGTAGCCTTGTGGTTAAAGCATTGGCTCGTCACGGCGAAGACCCGGGTAAAATGTGTGAAGCCCACTTCTGGTGTCCCCCGCCGTGATGTTGCTGGAATATTGCTAAAAGCGGGGTAAAACCAAACTCAGTCAGTCAGTCAGTACTGCATGAAAGATCAACGTCATACTTACAACATCGGGAAATTCTGGGCTGATCAATCCGTTGAGTCCATCGAATATATCATCTCGTTCATATGCGGCACTTGCTCCACAGACACCACTGAATGAGATATTTCTGTGAAGCAAGGCACATTTATACTACCACAGGTATGATACGTCATTTCTCAAATTAGCTTTTCTAGGAAATTACGTGTCTGGAAAAACCTTGCGTGATGTTAACTTGTCCTGGTTGTGACATGTCCTGGGATGTGTTTGAAAAATGTATGAGAATGCTGTAAAATGCCCTAAAAAGATGTATCTGACCCTGTTATCTTCATCAAAGGGGCGGCGGGGATGCCTAGTTAAGTGTTTAAATGTTCACTCGCCAAGCCGAAGACACGGGTTAGATTCGATACAATTAATGCGTGAAGGGCCTTTCCGGAGTCCCGAATCATGATATTGCTGGAATATTGCTAAAAGCGACGTAAAACAATTCTCACTCATCAAAGTAGACAATGTGGACAGCCCAGACATCCAAAAGTCAGCCCAGACATCCAAGAGTCTCTTTCTCTCTCTCTCTCTCTCTCTCTCTCTCTCTCTCTCTCTCTCTCTCTCTCTCTCTCTCTCTCTCTCTCTCTCTCTCTCTCTCTCTCTCTCTCATACATGAACTCGTGGTTATTCCAAACATATTTTAAAATATATCCCTTTATCCTTTTTGTTAACTAAACTAACTAGTTGTTAAATCAGACAATAATCCATAAATAGAAACACAATCCATACATAAAGTACCACTATCATGTCTGGTGGATGTTACTCTCTCTCTCTCTCTCTCTCTCTCTCTCTCTCTCTCTCTCTCTCTTCTCTCTCTCTCTCTCTCTCTCTCTCTCTCTCTCTCTCTCTCTCTCTCTCTCTCTCTCTCTCTCTCTCTCTCCTATTCTTATTTCTAACATGAAGATCAGTTATACCATACCATACCCTAACCTTAAGTTCATTTTAAAATATATCCCTTTATCCTTGTTGTTAACTAACTGGTTGTTAAATCAGACAATATTCCATACATAGAAACACAATCCATACATAAAGTACCACTATCATGCCTGGCGGGTGTTTTCAATCTTTCTGATTGTCCCGTACACAGATACATTTATCAATAACTATTCAGTATGACAGGTGCACGATCTGAGGTAACTACGTAAATCACCTCGCCCTTTCCACATCATCATGTACTCCATGGTTGCATCCCTACACATAACACCGAGTCCCGTATTGATCAGTCCCTGTGAGGAGTTTCAAACCGAAAGTAACACTGACAATATGTGACGTAATCCCGTATTGACGAGGACTGGGACTGCCTAAAAGCCGGACAGCGAGTAATTAAAAAACAGATTGCAGCATATTAAAACGAAACGTGCGCAATTGGGCATCCAGCGTTCACAAACGCTTCGTTTTGCCGAAGTGTGAATGAAAATGTATAAAACGTTTACTAAGCTATGCCTCTAGATCTGTACCGCACAAGAGTCAGTGCTTTGCTGCTTGATGCTTTCTTTGTTATATCTATGTGAGAACAGTTTGTGGGCAAACCAACAAGCCAACTAACCTGTATTAAAACAGGCCATGTAAATTCCAATGTCATTCGTTAATATTCTCTTCCAAATAAAATAGACATTCTCTGCTGTTTCAGCAGAATCAGGTTCAGCAGGGAGTCCAAATTGGTTAATTTTGGAGTGAGTTTAGTTTTACGCCGCACTCAGCAATATTCCAGCAAATTGGCGGCGGTAAGTAAATGATCGAGACTGAACCAGACAATCCAGTGATCAACAGCATGAGCATTGATCTACACAATTGGGATACGATGACATGTGTCAACCAAGTCAGCGTGTCTGACCGCCCAATCCCGTTAGTCGCCTCTTACGACAAGCATGGGTTACTGAAGACCAATTCTAGACCGGATGTTCACGGGTCGCTTCCGACTTATCCCGGGCTGTATAAAACATCCCAACCCGTCCTGATGTTACATCTTATGCATTAACATCGATAGACCAGTATTATATTTAGACGAACACCACAATTAAATGGGAATGGTATTTTAAACGAACCACTCTGCTAAACCGAAGTCCCATTACTGCATACAATTTTGGTCCAGGTTTTGAAAATCATCATAAATCTTGAAGATCTATCTTCAAATGTGTTTACATACAACATCATTATATCTCCCTCAATACAAATGTGTCACAGATGAAAGTGATCAAAACAAACACGTTGCTTAAACTGAAGAATGTATTTAGAGAGATTTAGTACTATTCTATGGATTTAAACATAATTTAGACCACACCTGTAACATTTATGCTGTGTTTGACAGCCCGGGTCAAGACAGACCGAACAACTGTGATATAGAGACAATGTGGATAATATAGACAAGAGGGATTCACTTTGATCAACGTGTTAGTTTTGAGATTTGAGATTCTATGACGTGGTATTTTGGTAGATATGATATTCTAGGGATTTAAACACAATTAAAGATGCATCGGTGACGTTTAAATTTCTCTGACAGCCGGGGACAAGTCGGATCGAACATGGACTAAACACTTTTGATCGAGGCTATGTTGGGGATGTAGAGGTGGAAAGGCTTCACTTTAACGGACCAGTTATGTTTACATGCGGAGTATGTTGACGTTAAAATGTGTTATTTAGGTAGATATAAATAATCTCTCAGTGTAAATACTTTCATGAAACCTCGTGACGTTTAAGTTGCATTTGACAGGCCGAGCCAAGTCGGACCGAACACTGACAAAAAGAGTATGTGATAAAAGGTCTCCATTCGATCAACTTGTTCGCTTTAGATACTTCAGATTTAGACACTATAAAGTGATGTGTATGTAGATATAATACCATTCTGCATCTGTAAACAAGTATGATGAAGTATCTTTTACGTAGGAGATGCTTAAACCGTTCGCTGTCGTTCCGAACAATTTGGACAGAGCTAACGTTGAAACTGTAGGACTTAATACGATGAACAGTGACCTTCTAAAATGGTATGTGCTTGGATATAGATGTAAAACCTTTCCAGGCAAACGGAAAGGTGAATGAAGATGGACTGAAGTATTCATGAGTTTCAAATTCTGTTTCGTTTAACGATTCCTCTTTTACACATAACCCTGCTCGGCCCGCCCACAGGCCTCTCGCCTTCCTGAATTTTAAGTGATTTCGTCCCTACAACGTTATTATGCAGCACGTTTGTTGTTTGCGATTGTTCATTCTTGCCATGTGTGTATGTTACATCAATAATATAAAGATATAGCAGTCAATTATGGAATAATATACTAGTAATATTTTTCCCCGACCTGGCCCGGTTCGTGTGTACGGTTCTTGCAAAGGGACTGTTGTTGTGCAGTCCGGAACAGAGGAAAGGAAAATAACAGGTAGATAATTATTATTTATCATTAACATTCATACAATCTCGTTGGTAGATGTACGTGATGGCATTTATATAGCATGCACTGGGGGTTGGAGGGCATTGCTTTCATTTTAACAGATTGCCTTCTTAGAAAGGAGATATTGAGGTTGAAGTCTTTATTTCCAAGTAATCCAGTGATTTCTTAGAAAATCATTGCGTGCATATGCGCCACGCGGCGTTCACACACAATGAGATATGTATACGGCCTTAGATTTGTCATAGATACGCGTGAATACATTGCCTACTTTGTAGATTCTTTTAAATTTTCATGAAATGTCGATACCCACATTGACTAAGAGCTTGACAATGGTTTGTTATTTCATCCAGCGCAGTATAGTAGGGTAACAGTCTCGATATTACGCAAGCTTCGTCAGGCATTTATTATCACCATATCTTTTGTGTCGCCTGATGGTACAACCTTGCTTGATTGCTAAACGTACTGCGAGTGTAAGTTATTCGGCGCAGTGTAGTCAGCCCTAGTGAACAACCCCCCAGTATTGGTTTCAGGTAGGATTGTTTCTCTGGTCAGTTGCTGTTATCGTCTGCTCACTTGTACGTGACGCATATGGCAGGAACTGGGAATTTCTTTCCTCGGCGAGTAGAAGTAGATGTTGTGGTTGTAGTTGTAGACGAAGCATCAATGACATCAATTTGTGTCACATGACCAGTTCACAAATGATCAACAAGATGGCTATGCCTATGTATCTTGCAGTCGAATCTTGCACTCAACCTCGTGAAAACAGGAAGTGTACTGTAGGCCTACATTCAGTTGCAACATTGACGGCCATGAGAATAGTCAATAGTATCTCTGTCGTGACGCCACTAGTGTCACGTGCATAACTGTGAGGTATCGTATTCCTTGTTATATTGCAGATACCATGTCAAGGTCAAGGTCGCCTCTTCGTTCAATATGGTGTGCATTTTAATCAAGACAGTTTAGAAAACTCTTTACACAAGGTGCAAGGTCTGTATGCCTACTGTTCACTTGTGTATGCCCCTCTCAATGCTGCTGTCGAACCCATTCGACAGGAGAGTAGCATAATGACATCCCCAAATAAACTTGCAATAACTATTTACCAAATAGAATGTACCTGGCATTTGAATTATGTATGGAATGCATGGAATGCTCGGCTTTCTAAATGTATACATTTTATATGTTTTTTGTACCTTATATATAAACCAAATGCCCGTGAATTTTAAATGTGTTGGTCAAATTTATCGAACCACAGTCACAAACAACGGCCATTGTTGACTTCAGGCACTTCACGTCGAGTAGTACTCTGTCAAATATTTTCTTCATAATGAAATCTTTGTTTATAATATTACAATATTTTTGTTCTTTGGTGAAGATAAAACACTGAAGTTCCCATTTTTTTTAAATTAGCCACTTTCGATTACGTTATTCTTAAACAAAAACAATCTCAATGTTACATCACCGATTGGATGAATAGGAACGATAATGGAACCGATAATATCAAACATCTACAGCCCATTGATAAAGTGTGCTCAAAGGTTGGGGTTTTTTTAATTCATAGAAGACTGTTTTTGACATTTCATGTTTTATGATGGCAGAGTGAGTGAGTTTAATTTTTCGCCGCACTCAGCAATATTCCAGCTATATGGCGCGGTCTGTAAATAATCGAGTCTGGACCAGATAATCCAGTGATCAACAGCATGAACATCGATCTGCGTAATTGGGAATCGATGACATGTGTCAACCAAGTCGACGAGCCTGACCACCCGATCCCGTTAGTCGCCTCTTGCGACAAGCATGGGTTACTGAAGGTTCATTCTAACCCGGACCTTCAGGGGTCTTATGATGGCAGAGGCAATTTTACATACTATAGGTAATAGGGGCATACCACTGTCAGACACTACGGCAAACAGCAACAATCTTGGACAATTCTGTAGACTAATAACACATAATGCCATTGCTTTGAAAGCCAAGGACAGATACACAGGTAGATAATTTCTAATTACTTAACAGAAAAATAGACATGTGCCCTGTTGGCTTTTATCAAATGATAACATTTCCTAAAATGTAATTAATATATGTGTGTGTATGTGTGCGTGCGTGCGTGCGTGCGTTGCGTGTGTGTATTGTTATCTCAACAGCATAACTAATCTCAGGTATTTGTGACTGAAAATAATTCAAGACAAAGACCCACTGTTGAGAGAAATATAGCTTATCATATCTGTATTTTATATATATTGTGACAAGTTATTGTATGGGAAGAAAATATACAAAGATGATATGAAACATCTATCCATTACTTTTATGTTATATTTGTATTAAATAAGTATGTGAACAACATAATCTTCCACATCACTGATATTCAAATGAAAGGCAGAAATTGAAGATGGATTATTTACACTTTGCTAATGCATTGGTAGATTTTAGAGTCTTTACCCATGACTATTTGGGAGAGAAAAAGACTAATAATATTATTGATAACAATTATTATGACATGATCACCAATATTCACCTGTCATCAATATTCAACAAGGATTTTAAATTATTTCATAAATTTATTTATAATTCAAACTCTTAAGAAATGAGATATTTGATTTGCCACACAAGTGATGTGAAAGCAGAATTTATCAAATCATCCCAAATTCCATGTGAATCTAATATCGATACTATGTTTTGATATTATATAATATGATATATGCTTCATGCAGCTGTTAATATTGTATCACAATCATAAAGGCATGAATGTTATTTGGAAACAAATGATTTGTCTCGCCCATTTCGCGCACCTGTTGTCGAGGCAGGTACTGGCCGACGTCTGTAAACGTTATTGCGTGAGACAAAGTGACCAATACTATCGTCAACATACATCTCAATTATATATTTCTTATGTTTATATGACGGGTGCCACCGTTGGGGCAGGATACGGACAGCTTTTCGCGAACTCCTGGGCCCCGTTCCTCAAAGCTATCGTAGCGCTACGATAGTTGTAAGTCCTTGTTTAAAGTATGGGAGTTACGATCATCTTAGCGCTTACGATCGCTTTGAGGAATGGGGACAAGTCGTCGCCTGAAAACCAGAGTGTTCTAAGTCCACTTTTGACAAAATTAGAGTTAGTATGCTCGGGGTAGGTTTTAGAGCATAATCTATTACTCTAGCAACTTTTTACAGTGCTATCTAGCTTTGAAAGTGGTTTTTCAAACACACACTTTGTTCTATCTCCATGAAAAATCACATGTTGTTAATTTTCGAGTGTTCTAAGTTGTCAATTGACCAATGAGCAAGCACAATTTGATCACGTGACATTGAGATTTACCAATTTTGAAGTGATTGTCATCATGGAAATGGAACATTTTAACTCTGTTCTTATTTCTGCTTTATTTAATTAAATATAGTCCTTATGAAAGTAAAACAGGTTTAAACGACAATACAACCTGGGAAAAAAGAAATAACAATCAAATATCGATATAATAATAATAAAGCTGAGTTTTAGCTGTGTTTTTTGACACTTAGAACACTTTGGTTTTGAGAAAATTCACGATTGTCTTAGGTCAAGTGTTCTATCTCCAATCATTTTTCGTGAGTTTCTTATTTATTTCAATAGTTTGAGCATATAATTTGATATTTTCTGATACTGTTTAACATGTCACATGCATGTGCAAAATTTGAAAGAATTCGATTAAAAAGTTTAGAAGATAGTGTTGTCCTAAACTTCAAGATGGAATTTCTCGAAAATAGTTTTTTGTGACTTAGTACACTCTGGATTCAGGCGACGAAGTGTCATCACTATTCAATAGTGATTCATAAACACCTGCACATGGTGACAATCATTGGATAGTCTGGTCCAGCCTGAAACAAATATCTGCTCATGATATAGTCACAATTGTACCATCGACTCTGCTTTTAGCAAACATTTCTTATGAAGTGACAAGGATTTTGTCGTTTCTAACTATCTACATATTCAGTGTAGAACCAAGTGATGGTCTTAATATCAACAAATGTTCAAATAAAAGATACTGAGAAACTTGGATTGTTGATCTACTACTGTTTCCTGGTCATGGGAGCATACTAGGTCAAACAGCTTCTGTGATGTGCCAATTATATAGTCAAAAACACAATGTTTGTTTACCTATGAGCTATGATTAGTTATTTTAAATATTCATTTGTGCTACCTTTTGGGTTGAAACAGGAAAAATCTCCAAATTTACGGTTAATATTCAATAGCGAAAGATTTTTAGTAAACAATTCCTATCTGTGACATCACGTCCGGTGACATTTGCACTTACCAGAAGACATTCCATTCGTGACCAACTCGTGTTATTCCGGGACAAGCCGAATAGCGACTCGTGCCCCTCTGGAAGGATTTCATATTGGCGCATGAACATCAGAACAACTTGAAACAAGAACTATAACTCTATCCCTTTTTGATTCAAATGTTTCTTAATTATCACCGAAGCACATGTACATTGTATTGCTAGGTTGTTGTTTTGGGGGGTTTGTCTACTTATTTATTTTAAAGAATTAAACCTCTTTGATACAACTAAAAGAAGGAGAAAAACATATTTGTTAAAGACATATTCTAATGTAATTATTACCAGCTGTTAACCTTATATTTCCAATTATGTTAATTTTCATAATAGGGTTTAGTCATCACAAATCGGAATTGTTGTATTGAATATGCAATTAAAATAATATTTTTTCAGCTACATTAAATCCCAAAGCAGATACTCAAATATGACTTTAAAATATTTCTCAAACTGAACATTCGTGAAACCTTGCTGTTACACCCCAGGTAGAATTTTAAATGAATTCGCTGAAAAAAATCTGAATGACCAAAAAGCAGTCAGACTAAAATGTCCCCAGAGCTATGAAATTTAAGGTTGATCAGTTACATACAAATACGATATTATTGTTTTGAAACTCGTAGCGATTATAATTACATTTCCGAAAATTGGTCGAAGCGCACGTACAATCTCCATAATAAGCCCGCAAGATCGTCGGAAATACACTCAGTTGGACCCATGAGAGCCGTTTTGTCAACAAACACATGTGCGTGTATTTGAATCTCTCACCGGCATGATTCTTACTAAAAACTTCATAATAGGCAGCAAAATCCTTTTAGCTACGTCCTTTGTACTTTCAATATGACGATATATATTTTTCAGGATTTTTAAACAATGACATAATGCCATAAACGATTTAAGTACTCGGGATTATTTTTATCAAACCACCACACTCATTTACGCGCGTTCTGATTGGTTTGTCGTATTTTCGCACGTAACAAGCATCGATAGGATAGGATGACATCGAAAATACCATTTATTTACAACGAACGTTTTCGAATATTATTTTGCAGAAATGGGTTTTTAATCTGACATTGCGCATATATTTACCGATACAAATATACGAATTTTAATTCAGATATTATATCAGAGATATGAATATTGACATCGGTTTGCGCTAATTTAACGATTTATACAGGTTCCTAATATGAAACTCATTCCACTGTCAATCAAGTAATTCAGGTAAATTCAAGAAAAGTTACATCATTTAATGTTTGCCTTAACCTCTGCATGCTTGAAAATATCAAGATATTTTGGATAATAATGTTCATTTTGCTATCTAGTAATAATGTGCAAAAAATCACCACCATGTTTACAGCGCATTCTGCCCAAACTAATTCAACAGGCTAAAGGTTAATCTCCACATCGGTGCCTAGCAGATTCTTTGGCCTTTGTTTCTTCTGTGCATCTGTACCCCTATACCTGCATGCCATTGTCCATGGAGTCGCTTGATGTGTATATGTGCCTGTCTTTTCCTATGATTATTTTGTATTTGGTACCCATGCTTCCATCTTCGTCCGTTTACAAAATGGATTGTTCTTCGTTGTGTACATAATCCTTTGTGTTTATGGATCGCATACTGTGCCTGTATGTCCCTTATATGCACTATTTAAAACGTCTGTGTACCTCCTGAACTCCAAGGCAGACCGTTTAATTACTTTAGGATGGGATCGGTGGCCTTGGGTTTGTAATTTTCATAGTGAGTGAGTGAGAGAGAGAGGTTAGTTTTAAGCCGCTTTTAGCAATATTCCAGCAATATCTCGTCGGGGGACACCAGAAATGGGCTTCACACATTGTACCCATGTGGGGAATCGAACCCGGGCCTTTGATGACGATCGAATGCTTTAACCACTAGGAATGCTTTAACCACTAGGCTACCCGAACGCCCGAACGTCACCTTTAGTTTCTGCATACAAATCATATCATCTCAGGCCGTTTCCCCCACAGTAAAAATTATTCTTGATATGACTGATACTCTGAAATCATTAGTCTAAAACAAATATCAGAATTGTATTACGTGTTTCAAAGCAGCGACAAATACAATAATCTGACTCACACATTTGTCAATCCAACTGGATTAGAATTCTCCGCCATATTGCTGGAATATTGCTGAGTGCAAGAAACAAAAATGTGTTAATTTATTGCTTTTTATGTCTACAGTGACAACAACTTTCGTAAATTTGGTGTCTTTGATCATGTTTATTAACTGTTGAGTATATATACAGGTGAGCTACAGTGGTATCTCTATTTCCAGCTCCGACATGGCTGAAGAAACTTTCCCTGTCCCGATAGTAAGACTTCCTGGAACAGGTCTGGAACAAACCTATGGGGACAGGCGAAACAGTTTATCCGATCTGTCACACCTTGGTGAAGAAACACCTGAGCACAGAGGCCGAGGTCGAGGTAGAGGGAGAGAAGGGAGGGGACGAAACAGAGGCCGTGGTAGAGGTCAGTCAGAAGGGAACAATGACGATCAGAGTACTGGCAATGGTCGTGATAGTCGTGTCAGACCTCGCGGTAGAAATAGCAGGGGTGGAAGAGGGCAACGCGGCACGAGACGCTGCCAGAGTACTGAGGTGATCGGCGCTTCTGCATCACCTGCAGATGGATCGCAAGAAGGCAGAGGGCGTGGACCCAGAAAGGAATATGTTGAGAGACCAATGGGCTACAGGAGATTGAGTGACCTAGCATCGAGGGACAGTTGTGAAGATGTAACACTGGAATTGACTAGTCCAAGAAGTGGTTTCGAACTGTTGTTAAAGTTTGATAAAATAAAACCTGACTGGATGAATCTGTTGCTACATATTTTAGAAAAGGCATGTAAATCTACACACAGAGAAAGTGTTCTGCTGATCTTAACACAGCTTTGCTCTTCCACATTTATTGAAACGCATATAATGCAGTTTTTAACAAGCGCACTACAGCCTCCCTATTCAAGTAACTTTGTTGACAATGTCAAACGATTACTATTTATCTTTGACACCATCTATCACAGGCTTCCTTCGTCAGCAGAAAAATGTGTTGGGAGCTTGCTGGTCATGAAGACCGTGTTTGATGTGCACCAGCTGACGGATAGCCATACAGACCTCGAGCGGAACAGAATGGAATTGTTTGAAATGTGCCAGAGAGCTGCTCTGGTTGAAAAGGAAGAAGAAAGTGTGAAACAGTCACGAGGCAGAAAAAGAAGGCCAATGATGAACGCTGATGATGACACTCCTCCCGATGATTTCAGAAATTTGGAGATGTATCCCAACCCAGAGGATCTTCAACTGAATCAAGAAGTTTTCCTTCGGAGGAACAAGGAGAAGGGAAGGTATCCAGATCTTAACACGTACTTGGATGTACAGTTTCGGCTGCTGAGAGAAGACTACATCCAGCCTCTGAGAAAGGGTATACAAGACTACAAGAATTCAAAGAAGAAAGGAGAATCACCAAAGAAAACGTCAGATCTGCGTCTGTATAATGATGTCCGCATTATTGGATCAGTCTGTAATGAAGACGTTGAAACCAGAATCAAGTTTGATACCTCCAATACCAGCAAAATCAGATGGCAATCCTCTAAGCGACTGATCTATGGATCGTTAGTCTGTTTGTCTCAAGATGATTTTGAAACGATCATCTTTGCTACTGTGACAAACAGAAATGTTCAGGATCTTGAAAAGGGTATCATTCAAGTTAGATTTGAAAGTGGTCAAGATGTTGTCCTAAATGCATCAGCAAATGATTCCTTCATCATGGCAGAAACAACTGCCTACTTTGAGGCATATAAGCATGTACTTTGCCGATTACAACAGATCACAGACAAGATGCCTTTCCAGAAGTATATTGTTGAATGCAAAACACTAGTTGGTCCTCCAAAATATTTTTTAGGAGAAGGCATAACAAGCTACACGTTGACAGCGCTTGGTGATGAATCGCCGGACCTAACGTCTGTGCCTGTCTTGAACTTTTTAAGATGGCCGCCTCTATCATCTTTTAATTTAGACCATACACAACTGGAAGCTGTGAAGACAGCACTGACGAAAGAAGTAGCTATTATTCAAGGCCCTCCTGGAACTGGAAAAACATACGTGGGGCTAAAAATTGCCGAGGTCCTTTTTGCAAACAGAGCTGCTTGGTCAAGAGATCCAACAAGTAATGCGGTATTGGTAGTTTGCTACACAAACCATGCCCTTGACCAATTTCTGGAAGGGATTGCAGGTTTTCTTGAAAAGGATATTGTTCGAGTTGGGGGGAGAAGTAGTAGTGAAGAATTGAAGAGATTCAACTTGAAAGAGCTGAGAATGGAAAAACGAAAGGAGAAAAGTGTCAGAAGAAGTGTCATAAATAACACTTACGGTTGCAGGAATGCCATGACGGCTTTAAGGCGGGATATAGAGGAGGTTAGCGGAAGGATTGAAGCAAGTTCAGTCGGGATTCTCCATGAGAAGGTTCTGATGCCGTTTATGCATGACAACCATTACAAATCATTAACTCAGAGACGTGCAAGAGACGCTGACGTTGCTGCTGTTCAAACCTGGTTAGGACTGGATGATCTGACGAGTCAGACGGAAGGGAATCAGGCAAAAGGGGCTTTGATAGAACATTGGGTACACCTTATAATGAAGGTCTGTTCTCGTCACAACACCAAAGAGAAGAAGCACAAACCCATGGAGGACGATGAGGTCATGTCTTTAGGACTGGTGAAACGGGTGAACCTGTATCACGGGTGGATAGCACAGTTCCGATCCCATATCAATAAGAAAATAGATGAACTCAATGAAGAAAGTTATGATGACAGTGAATATGGGGATGAAGAGGAGGAGGAGGAGGAGGAGGATGAAGGGGAGAAGGAGGAGAGGGATAAAAATGAAAAGACAGACCTACACGGACTCAGGCTACAACTTGAGTCATCCCAAAAACAGGTTCTCATGGATGCTCCTCTCCGTCCATTTGTACCAAAGGACATCTTCAGAGCTGTCACAATGGGGAAGTATTCTCGTTTTAAAGATGGATGTGCCATTCGGGCGTGGCTTGGAGCGTCCCCTCACCTGCTGGAAGAGGGCCTCCCCTCAGCAGTAAAACAACTGGAACTTGAAACTGAAGATGAGGAATATGACGATGATGGGCTTAATGCAGATGAAGAGGCGGATATCATAACAAATCAGAGGCTGGTTGATGACCAAGACAACTTATTTGAAGACAAACAGGCAAAATCAGCGCTTCTCATTAAGAAGGCTATGGAATCGATTGCGTTGAGTATGCAGAGTTTGGAAATGAAAGACGGGAAAAAGAAGGGGAAGGATGGGGAGTGGGAGCTTCAGCCTCAGCAGAAGAAGAAACTTAAAAAGCAGCTAGAAAATGTACTAAAATGTAAAGACTCCATGGACGAGAAACAAGTTGCCCATATAAACAATGTTTGGGATGTGCCCCTTGACCAACGACCCTCTCTGTACATATACTGGTTGCTGAAATACCAGAATCATCTAAAGAAATCCATCCAAGGAAAAGAACAGGTATATCGACAAACAGCTGCTCGTTTGAAAGAAGTTCTGCAAGAAGAGGATAGAGATATTCTAGCTGAAGCAAAGGTGATTGGAATGACAACAACGGGAGCCGCCAAACATGCAGCTCTGTTGCAAGCCGTTGCTCCGAGAATCATCATTGTTGAAGAAGCTGCTGAAGTGCTTGAGTCTCACATCATCACAACACTCAATCCAAAGTGTCAGCATCTCATCCTTATTGGAGATCATCAACAGCTCAGACCAAATCCAACCGTCTATGAACTAGCAAAAAATTACAATTTGGACATATCCCTTTTTGAGAGACTAGTAAAGAATGACATGCATCATGTCACGCTCGGACACCAGCATAGGATGAGACCTGACATTTCCGTCCTCATCAAACACATCTATCCAGATCTCCAAGATCATCAATCTGTTACAACATTTCCAGATGTCCTAGGAGTTGAAAAGAATGTCTTCTTTGTTCACCATGAACATCATGAAGAGCATCAACATGAAAACATGAGCAAAACCAATCAGCATGAAGCATCATTCATTGTTGCTCTTGCTCGATACTTTCTTCTTCAAGGGTACAAACCATCTGAGGTCACAATCCTAGCAGCTTACACAGGTCAAATCCTGCTCATTAAAAAACGCATGTCTGAAATGACAGATATGTTTAAGGGTGTTCGGGTTACATCCGTTGACAACTACCAAGGTGAAGAGTGTAAAATCATCTTGCTGTCCCTTGTCCGCAGTAATATGGAAGGGTCAGTAGGATTTCTTGGGATTGAGAACCGAGTGTGTGTGGCCTTGTCACGAGCGAAAGAAGGACTCTATGCTGTAGGTGATTTTCATCTACTCGCAAAAAAATGTTCTCTGTGGAATCTGATTACAGAGACATTGAAGGAAAAGAAATTCTTTGGTCCTTCACTTCGGTTGAAATGCCAGAATCACCCAAAGGTAACAATAGATGCATCTGAAGCTAGCGACTTTGAAAAAGCACCAGAAGGAGGATGTACTAGACCATGTGATATCAGACTACCATGTGGCCATGTCTGTGAACGAATTTGTCATAACGTTGACCGGGAACACAAAGGTTTCAGATGCAGGAAACCTTGTACCAAAGGATTTCCCCAATGCAGCCATGATTGTCCAAAGAAGTGTTTTGAGAAATGTGACAATTGCTTTATTCCTGTAAAAAAGACAATTCCAATGTGCGGTCATGAGGACATGGTTCCCTGTTCCAAAGATCCGCATTCCTGGACCTGCACCGAACCGTGTAAAGCCAAACTGTCATGTGGTCACCAATGTAAGGGACAGTGTGGAAACTGTCGGAAAGGAGGACATAGAGTTCTCTGTACAGAGATGGTAGAGAAAGTCTGGCCGTGTGAACACATCCTCAAGACAAAGTGTCATGAAGCCAACCTTGCAACTCAATGTGACCGTCCTTGTCAGACTCCACTTGACTGTGGACACAGGTGTAAGGGAACATGTGGAGCATGCTTCTTTGGACGGATTCACAAGTCTTGCAACGAAAAGTGTGGGAAAAAGCTCCCATGTTCACATAATTGTCGGCAACCTTGTGGAGCCGCTTGTACTCCCTGCAGTGAAGTTTGTACTACGGCTTGTTCTCATAGCGTATGCAGCAAACCCTGCGGTCAAGCCTGTCTCCGGTGCATGGAGATCTGTCCTGGTGGATGCAAACATTCTCCTTGCACGAAGCTATGTTTTGCTGAATGTAACAATGAACCATGCGAGATACCATGTGACAAGACCTTGCCGTGTGGACATAAGTGTATTGGGCTTTGTGGAGAAATGTGCCTATGCAGAGAATGTTTTAAGAGGAAACTTCCAACTTCCACAACCTCGTCCGAGGAGTCAGAAACCTTTATCCGATTCAAATCTTGTGATCATGTATTCACCAAGCTGTACATGGACACCTGGATGAAAGCTGCGGCATCCATTTATGCAACTTTGCCAGTCTGCCCAAAATGTCAGAAGACAGTGAAGGGAAGTACCAGATATGCCAATATCACCAAGAAAGCCTTCTCAGAAATACAAGATGTGAAGAAGGAGCTTGAGACCGCATCTTCAGCAACAAGCAAACTCACCAGCCTTAAAGCGTCAATCTCCAGGTCCCCTTTACCAATGGATACGATCAGGATTCTCGAGGGCTTCCTCACTAACCAACGCAGTAACATTAACACCGTCAGTGCTGTTGAGAGTCAGTTCTCAATGTCAGTCGATCTGTACGAGGTTCAGCAGGCTCTGTCAAGCTCCCACCTTAGAGTGTCCCAAGAAGCAAAAGATGTTGATGCCCTTCAGAGACATCTTCTTCAGAAGAAAGACTTCATGAGCCCTCAGATGATCAGAGAATACAAGGCTGAGATCAAGAGCCTTCTGAGCAAGATAATACGGGCTCGTTCACTGGCTCCTACTCAGAATACACCGGTTGATGAGGGTACATCGGTTTAGTGTCTGCTGTGGACAATGCTAGTGATTCATCATTATGCAATTTCAGGTGATTTAGTTGACAATTAAAACCCTTTTTCTATTACAAGACAATGATGACACACACACGTGTGCGTGCGCGCGTGCGCGTGCGCGCGCGTGTTCATTCACCGATCGGTCACAGAATGGATGTCCGATGATTCGGAGGTCGACTACAGTGTTACTGTGAGCCAGTGTCAGCAGATAAATGCTAGTGTATATAATTGTCAGCCATGTGATGCTAAGGAGAATGTATTCTTGGTAAGACAATTACTTTAAGTTACTTGCGTGTTTATTGTTGACTGTATAATTCTTTATTCTCATTGTATTTTGATTATGGTAGTCATTTTCGCACGTGCTCGTTTATCTGGCCAAATCCTATGACATTTTTGGTTAAAGGATTTTAACAGATTAGGTAACAAGTCACACATAACTGTGGACTGAACATTGATTCAGTGTAGAGAATGACTCACTTTCTGTCATTATTGACATTGAAATATTTTGTACATTTGATTTCCCTTAGCTTTAGAAAACATTTACTTATATATAATGTAATTACAAAAAGTGCAAGAGACATTAGTGATATAAATCCAGTTGTGTATATGTTCATTGTTCAGCCTTATCATATATTTGACATATGATGTAAACTATATACTTTTAAATCTAAAAGGTCGACTACAGTGAATGACAATATCAGTGTTACTGTGAGCCAGTGTCAGCAGATAAATGCTAGTATATATAATTGTCAGCCATGTGATGCTAAGGAGAATGTATTCTTGGTAAGACAATTACTTTACGTTACTTGCGTGTTTATTGTTGACTGTATAATTCTTTATTCTCATTGTATTTTGATTATGGTAGTCATTCCGCACGCATGATTTGGCCAGATAAACGAAAGCACGTCGTGAAAATGACTACCATAATCAAAATACAATGAGAATAAAGAATTATACATGTGATGCTAAGGAGAATGTATTCTTGGTAAGACAATTACTTTACGTTACTTGCGTGTTTATTGTTGACTGTATAATTCTTTATTCTCATTGTATTTTGATTATGGTAGTCATTCCGCACGCATGATTTGGCCAGATAAACGAGCAGGTGCGAAAATGACTACCATAATCAAAATACAATGAGAATAAAGAATAATACAGTCAACAATAAACACGCAAGTTTAGTATCACATGGCTGACAATTATATGTACTAGCATTTATCTGCTGACACTGGCTCACAGTAACACTACTTATATATTATGTAATTACAAAAAGTGCAAGAGACATTAGTGATATTAATCCAGTTGCGTATATGTTCATTGTTCAGCCTTATCATATATTTGACATATGATGTAAACTATATACTTTTAAATCTAAAATGTACACTATTTTCAATAACCTTTGTGTGTCAAAACAAACCAGCATTATCTGGATCCTGACACTTTGCTATGCAATTTGAGTACAGCAGCTGAGTATCGGTCTGTGGTTTTAATGGTGGATCGAAATATTAATGAGACGTTTTGCTCTTGAAATATTGATAGCATCCAGGTTCCTTCTTGTAGCTGTACATTTGAGCTGACTGTACATTTTCAATCTTTTATCTGTGTATCACAAATACATGTCTGTTCATGTAGTTTTTCTGTTAAGAACGATCTTGTTATTCTGATAATTCATTTACCATTTAATGCTAAATTCAACATCGTCAAACTGAAACTCACATGCTTTCAAAATCAGTCGTTAAGCGCCGAACTGTTTTTTTAGTTTTTGTATTGACAGTGTATACACGATGATATAGTGAAAGGCTATCCAGAATATAAACATGTACCTCAAAAGTTGTATTTAAACGGTTGCAAAAGTCAGAGGTAGTTTAATTTAACGCTTTCCTATATTTTCGGATACATTAAATCCCTGCTCTATGAAATGACAATTCTAACCCGGCAGTACCTTCTGTCATTAAATATTTGATGAAACCACAAAAGAACATGCCAAGCAAATGGACAATTATGGACTAGATAGATTTTGGTTTCGAAATAAAAAGGAGCAGTATCTATTCCAATGAAGAGGAAGGGATTAAACTTTTGAATTAAAACTAGTACCTATTTGCTAACCTTGGAGAAATGACATTCTTTAGTTTGGACTCGAGAGAATGAACGAATGAATAAATACGGAAGAAGTATTTGACTCTGTGTGTGTGTGTGTGTGTGTGTGTGTGTGTGTGTGTGTGTGTGTGTGTGTGTGTGTGTGGGTGGTGGGTGGGTGGGTGTGGGTGTCGTGTGGGTGTGTGTCGGTGTCGGTGTGTCGGTGTTATAATGTTGGGTACCTATATACCAGGTGTTATAATGTTTTGCTTAGAACGTTTACTGAGATGCTCAAGAAACATGTTTTTGACATAATGATAGTATCAAGGTTTGTGGTTATAGCTGTATGTAATGTTTTAGTTTATTCTACATTTTCAATCTCTTATTTATGTAGCATAAAGTCATGTCTGTTCGTGCAATTGTTCTGTTTAGGAACGATATCATAATATAATCTATTTACCATGTATTGCACAGTTTTAAATTGCATCATAACATCGTCAAGCTGAAACTCATATGCCGTTAAGCACTGAGTTTGTTGTTGTTGTTGTTGTTGTTGTTGTTATTGTTTTGATATTGTATATTTAACAATATCGGAAAGTATATCAAAGTTGTATTTTAACGATATTTAAGTATCCTGGTTTCATTAAAATCTCTGCTTTATGACATGTTTAAAAATTTGTTTCAAATGTCCATGCGCTTGATTATCTAATATGATAATTAATACAAGTTGTTCGCTGGTCTCGAGGGGGACATGGGCTGATGTACCCTCGATGTTTGTTTATGTTCCCTGGGGCGGTGGGGTAGCCTAGTGGTTAAAGCGTTGGCTCGTCACGCCGAAGACCCGGGTTCGAATCCACTCATGGGTACATTGTGTGAAGCCCATTTCTGGTGTCCCCCGCCGTGATGTTGCTGGAATATTGCTTAAAGCGGCGTAAAACCAAACTCAGTCAGTTAGTCAGTCAACTTAAAGTATTTGGGTTTTGTTGTTGGAGCTGAGTTGTGTAAAGAAAGTGAGGTTTGGTTTGATTGTTGTATAACGCCGCACTCAGCAATACCCCCTTCCGTTAATCGCCTCTTACAAGCATGGGTTACTGACGTCAATTCTAACCTGGATCTTCACGGGTAGAAAGAAAGTGAAATGATTACTGCCACCAAACAATGTACCAATGTGGGGTAGCCTAGTGGTTAAAGCGTTGGCTCGTCACGCCGAAGACCCGGGTTCGAATCCCCACATGGGTACATTGTGTGAAGCCCATTTCTGGTGTCCCCCGCCGTGATGTTGCTGGAATATTGCTAAAAGCGGCGTAAAACCAAACTCAGTCAAGTCAGTTTATGTTCCCTGAGCCCGATGGCATGGTCCCTAGAGATGTCGCCCATGGTACGTTGTACTCATGACGTATAAGCTGATAACATGATGTACACTGTAACCTTTGTTGTTGTTACACTGTTTGTTTGTTTGTTTGTTTTCTTTGTTTGTGATTGTTTAACGCCACAAACAACAATATTACAGCTACATGGCGGCGGGTTTCGTACACTGAAGACAGGTTGTATTCGGGTTAGTTCAGATTAAATTAACCTCTGGTTTTCAAAGAAAAACTATTTCGAAATCAAAACTACCAAACTTCGGGCATATGATTAACATAAGACTTTCATGTCCTTAACAGCTGTACACGTTAGTAGTTTATTAACATATAACGCTTTCTGTTATACATGTCTTGTCTTAACTGGGCCCTCTTCCTCAAAGCGATCGTAGCGCTACGACTGTCGTAAGTCTATGTTAAAGTATGAGAGTTACGATCATCTTAGCGCTACGATCGCTTTGAGGAACGGGGCCCTGGTACTGATGCTGATGCTTTTTGTATGTACTAACCAAGAAGTAATATTTATACAGACATTTCTGTAATCGAACGGTGATTTGTATTACTCAAGATTGGTTGTAAACCAGGACTGTGTAAAAATGATATTTCTGAAAATAAGATGTTTAATATTTAGTTTGGGTGTAAAATTGGGTACGGAATGGAAATAAAGCTTGAAAACGACGAAGTGACTCATCTGTTTAAACTTATATAACTCACTGTCATTGTCACAGTTGGGGACATCAGAGGGACTTCGCGTAGTACGACCATGAAGTGGAATCGAACCGGGTCCTCGGATGAATTATCATCGTGGGCATTATACATATCGAATTTTATCTTTTCAAGTGAGAGAGCTAGGCGGAGAGAACGCCGCTTGATACAGTTTAATATCATCATATATGGTCACTAACCCCATTTTAAAGAAAGAAAACAATTACAAATGTTCTACTCTACTACTAAGATTACATTCTTATAGAATGCCTTTCAGTGTACATTTTGTTTATTTATTTATTTTTATTTAATTTTTGTATTTTGTATTTTTTTTTGGGGGTTATTTTTATTTATTTTTTTTATTATGTTTTTATGCTGACATTGCCAGTTTATTTCTAGTTTTACTATAAAAAGTATAAAAAGGATATACGATTATAAAAGATATATGATTGGAATGCTTGTAAGGTGTCTAGGGTTTACATAGTTACATAGCTATCGTTACAGAGAATTCGTACCACTATTTAAAGCAATACTAGTATACGACCCTAAAGTTGGAATCACATCCTGATCGAAATCTAGGCCATTTGTATGACAAATTTCGACCCATCGCTGTCTCGTCATGACTGTTGTACAATGTGACCTACATGTCACTTGATACCTGAAAGTATGACAACTAACACTGACCAGGTAAGAATTTAATACACCCCCTCTGTACGTTCAGATGTCGAGCACATACATTCATTTACACGAGGTGTGTTACCGTAGGCCGTATATGAGGAGAGTAGATTCTGGGTAACATGCCAAATATGAACGAAGGGCAAATTCAGGTGACCTAATGCCGCCCTTAAAATCCCTCTGTTGTAACACCTATATTCCCATCTATCATAAACGCTACTTCTTGACCTGCTGCTATTTACATACACCTAAGGTAGCTATGGATACAAGGTGGTCAACAGACAGGGGCAATAACTGCAATCGATATGACCATACGCTATACAGCAGCCCATAGCATTTAAAATATAATTAGTACGATGTTCCCGAGTGAGTAATACTGACTGACTGAGTATGGTTTTACGCCTCTTTTAGCAATATTCCAGCAACATCACGGCGGGGACACCAGAAATGGGCTTCACACATTGTGCCCATATGGGGATTCGAACCCGGGTCTTCGGTGACGAGCCAACGCTTTAACCACAAGGCTACCCCACCGCCACCGACTGAGTAATACATTTAGTTAGTGAGTGAATGAGATTTATTCAAACTTTCGTTTGACTTTCGTTAGGCAAGGAAGTTTTCCACGGAGTGAGTGAGTGAGTGAGTTTAATTTTACGCCGCTTTTAGCAATATTCCAGCAATATCACGGAGGGAGACACCAGAAATGGGCTTCACACATTGTACCCACGTGGGTAATCGAACCCGGGCCTTTGACGTGACGAGCGAACGCTTTAACCACTAGGCTACCCCACCGCCCCTTTCCACAGAACCTTTGAAAGTTTAGAACCTGGGTCATGGGCGTGTCGAGCTCAAGCGTTAACCAAGCACTAACATTCCCCATCTCATATAAAGCAGTCAAGATTGGCGCATGACCAAAGGCGATATACATACACCCAATTCAAGACAAACCAAACTGACAAGACCACGAAGCGCTATCACTCAAGAGACTTGGATCAAGGGGAAATCAGCGCATTGTTGAATTCACGACGATGACAACATAGTTTCAGTCATATGCTAATGTCATGAGGGCGGTGGGGTAGCCTAGTGGTTAAAGCGTTGGCTCGTCACGCCGAAGACCCGGGTTCGAATCCCCACATGGGTACAATGTGTTAAGCCTATTTCTGGTTTCCCCCGCCGTGATGTTGCTGGAATATTGCTAAAAGCGGCGTAAAACAAAACTCACTCAGTAATGTCATGAACAATCATCATGCTCATCCCAATTTCACATAAATGTTTACCTATCTCCGCTGAAACTACATCATATTGACAGAGAAAAAATTATTGGCATTTTCCCCCTTTTGAGCCACAAAAAGAAATAATTGTCATGTGCCTTTTGCTCAAAGTTTTCACATGTTTATGTTTGTATGTTTGGTATGAGTAAACATTATTTACGATGGTAATTGTTTGTTGTTTAACGCCGCACTCAGCAATATTCCAGCTATATGGCGGCGGTCTGTAAATAATCGAGTCCGGACCAGACAATCCAGTGATTAACAGCATGAGCATCGATTCACACAATTTGGATACGATGACATGTGTCAACCAAGTCAGCGAGCCTGACCACCCGATCCCGTTAGTCGCCTCTTACGACAAGCATGGTTACTGAAGACCAACTCTAACCCGGATCTTCACGGGTACCCCTGGTATGTGATGATAATATAGATGAGCTGAGACGAATATCATTGCATTGATACGAAAAACATTTATATCACCTGTAAACATACCCTTTAACCAAACATAATGATTATCAATGTACAAAGCATTTCTATGAAAATAGATTCACTGAAATCTAATCTGCAGAAAGTGAGTGAGTATTGCTTTACGTCGTTGTATGCAATATTCATGCAATGTCACGGGATCACCAGAAATTAGCTTAACACATTGTATCCATGTAGGGGGAATCGAACCCGGGGCTTCAGCGCGACGGCGTCAGGCTACCCCACCGTCCGTTTGCATAAAGCTTCAAAATGACTGGTCGGCTCGGAGTCAGTATAATGTGTCTGAGTGGGGTATTCATGCTTCACTGTGGCATGGTATCTCAGTGGGCTAGCACTATAAAACCAACTTAAGTCTGGGCTAGTACAAGCAGCCGCACATACATATACACACGCATGCACGTCGTCATATGAGCGAAATATTCTCAAGCACGACGTTAAACCCAATTTCACCTCACCTCACCTCACCTCACCTCACCTCACCTCACCTCACCTCACCTCAAAATGAAAATAACAATGGACGGAGCCGGGTCAACACGCATCAAGTCAACGTTGGTGAAAGCTCAGCTACGCTTGACTGGCCAAATCATCAGAATGAACCACAACCGCATCACCAGACAACTTTTGTACGGTGAACGGAAGGAGGGTTTGCGCAGGTGGTGAAGGTCCAGATTGAGGCTTAAGGATACACTCCTCAGATCTGAGTGAGGTGAGGTGAAATTGGGTTAAACTTCGTGCTTGAGAATATTTCACTTATATGACGACGTGCATGCGTGTGTATGTGTATGTACGGCTGCTTGTACTAGCCCAGACTGAAGCTGGTTTTATAGTGCTGGCCCACTGAGACACCATGACGCAGTGAAACATGAATACCCCACTCAGACACACTATACTGACTCCGAGCCGACCAGTCCTTATTGTACCCATTAATGCCGAGCGCCAGGCAGGGACCAACAAGTACCATATTTTAACGTCTTTTGGTATGACGCGGCCGGGGATCGAACCCGCGACCTTCCGCTCTCCGGGTGGACGCTCTAACCACTACACCACGGAGGCTGTCTCTCAGATCTGAGTGAATGAGTTGGGTTGTACGTCACTTTATCAATATTACAGCAATATCACGGCGGGGGACACCAGAAATGGGCTTCACACATTGTACCCATGTGGGGATTCGAACCCGGGTCTTCGGCGTGACGAGCCAACGCTTTAACTACTAGACTACCCCATCGCAACATTTCTCCTCTTCTTTTATCTTCTTTTGTTTTATTTTTATTCTTCTTTTTTCTATTTAATCGAATCTTTTTTGCCATCTCCCCACAATCTAAAATACTGAGTGAGAACACGGTTGCTGTTTTATAATGCCTGTTATGAGCAATATTTCGCTGCTGAGTCCTGTAAATAATATATAATGTATGGTGTCTTCAAAAAAAATATACATCAACGCCGGTCAGAATAAATTACAACCTTCGAGGCTTCACTCTCCGTTTTAAACCTTCGCTCGCTAACGGGGACGGTGAGGTAGCCTAGTGGTTAAAGCGTTCGCTCGTCACGCCGAAGGCCCGGGTTTCTTTTTCCCCACATGGGTACAATGCGTGAAGCCCATTTCTGGTGTTCCCCCGCCGTGATATTGCTGGAATGTTACTAAAAGCGGCGTAAAACCCAACTCACTCACTCGCTCGCTAACTTGGTTGATACATGTCATTCTGTCCCAGTTGCATAGATCGATGATCATGTTGTTGATCACTGGATTGTCTAGTTCAGATTCGTTAATTTACAGGTCGCCGCCATAAACCTGGAATATTGTTGGAGTGAGTGAGTGACTTTAGTTTTACGCCGCTTTTAGCAATATTCCATCAATATCACGGCAGGGGACACCAGAAATGGGCTTCGCGCGAATATTGCTGTATGCGGCTTTAAACAACAAACAAGCCACATAATTCGTTGTAAATAGTATAGTTAACCGGGTGTAGAGATGACATTTGAATGTGATTGTCATGGTAACCGGTGACGTCAAAACACGCCTGTGATGCAATATCGTTGTGGAGCATCATCCAGGCTGTATCTCTCCCTGCATCCAGTTTTATACGTCTTATGTCTAAAGATAGAATAATAAAGACTCAAAGTCACACTGTTTCAGAAATATCTTTATTCCACTGTTGCAAAATATTTCCCCGACTCTGACGAACCATTCTTACAAACATTCCCGCTATTATTTTATCAGTCCAAATTATTCCTATCGACCCATTTTACATGAACATATTGCCACCTTTCAAAAGATTTTAACTATTTGTCAGCCTGCTTACCGTGGCATCATCTATCAGTTCAAATCATGGTGTAATAATATTAAAAATGATATAACAATATAATTAGCATTTTGTTCAGTCTTGGCTGGAAGCGCCTGCTGGGATGTATACTGTGCTTTTAGTTATTTAACACGTGTATACTATGGGTATAAAGCACTTGAAAGCATTACAAAGCTATTCTGAGTGAGTGAGTTTAGTTTTACGCCGCAGTCAGCAATATTCCAGCTATATGGCGGCGGTCTGTAAATAATCGAGTCTGGACCAGACAATCCAATGATCAACAGCAGGAGCATCGATCTGCACAATTGGGAACCGACGACATGTGGTCAACCAAGTCAGCGAGCCTGACAACCCGATCCCGACGAAGCTATTCTGAATATGATGGCGCATTATCTGTTGTAAATGAGAAGCCAGATGTTAATGAATACTATGATTTTAACTATACAGGAGCTCTAACAAAGAAACACAACAACGGAACACAACTGGTAACGGAAACACAACTGGTAACGGAAACACAACTGGTAACGGAAACACAACTGGTAACGGAAACACAACTGGTAACGGAAACACAACTGGTAACGGAAACACAACTGGTAACGGAAACGGAAACACAACTGGTAACGGAAACACAACTGGTAACGGAAACACAACTGGTAACGGAAACACAACTGGTAACGGAAACACAACTGGTAACGGAAACACAACTGGTAACGGAAACACAACTGGTAACGGAAACACAACTGGTAACGGAAACACAACTGGTAACGGAAACAGGTAACGGAAACACAACTGGTAACGGAAACACAACTGGTAACGGAAACACAACTGGTAACGGAAACACAACTGGTAACGGAAACACAACTGGTAACGGAAACACAACTGGTAACGGAAACAACTGGTAACGGAAACACAACTGGTAACGGAAACACAACTGGTAACGGAAACACAACTGGTAACGGAAACACAACTGGTAACGGAAACAACTGGTAACGGAAACCGTGTGTAACATCAGTATACTGAAGCTAAATAATAACAAATGCATGCACGAGTATCATTTATGTTCGTGAATACGGTAATGCCCACCATAAACAACGAACAAGATGCCCTACTAGATGATTCTCACAACTAGCATTCTAGTAGTGTGCTAAGTCACACACAGGACAACGAACATTAATTATGTGTCATTGTGATACCCACAACTTTTTAAGGTTCTGGGTCCTTAGGGCCTGCTGCTTTTCAGGGTTAAGGGCAAACACCGTACATGGCAGCGATCTGGACCAGACAATCCAGCTTTTCTCATGTAACCATTTTTGTCATGTTTCAGCCTTACGTGTGAAGCTGGATACCAAGTCACATGTGTCAGAGAGGTGTCATTGAATGTTAGATATATAAATAGGAAGAGTTAGTGCCATTGCATGTAACATAAAATATCATGGTCGCTCGTTGAAATGGCACAATGTTGAAAACATAATCAAACTGGTGTTTTGATCATAATGGCAAAATTGCAAAAGTTTGTGAGTAATTCTTTTGATGTGTGATGGATATCTGGTTCTTTCACCCTTAAACAAGTGCAACATTTTATCTTTCCGTTTAACAAAACAATACAAGGAGACGCTAAATACAACATTGAGCACATACAGCACGTGCTGCACACCATCAAGTACAATTCACAATTCGCAACAATATATACAATAAAACGTTATGAATTCCGATAGCCTATTCGTCTTTGACTGCCATTTAGGCACAGTTTATGACCTAGCCTGTTTATTATCTCAACACTTTGGCCCTTCAAGGGAGGTCTAGCTTGTACTGTGGTTTTCGCTGATACGGCGCAATTAACACCTTATTAAATCGTTCTGAATATGTATCCTTTGAGGATGCCATTTCAGAACTGTTTTACGTTTGGGAAAACGATTAATCTTTATATTGAAAGTGTTCAATTCTTCCTCATTCCTGTTGATAGGCGCCAAGCGTCTAGAAAAGGCATAGGTCGGTTCTTGTCCAAACAAGGGAGATAACTGCAGTGAGCCCAAGAAGAATGCCGCTGAACGAAGACGCTGGTGATGAAGATATCCGACATTTCAAAGCGTCAAATCTGTAAATAAAACATTTGCGATAACAAGCAGATAACATCAAACATCACTACCATCTGTCAGTCAGCTTCGCCTATAACATTATCTTAATCTACTATGTCGACACAAACAATCCACAATACCGTTCAAGCTCTAATATACCACTAAAGTCGGGAATGATTTATAGGCCGCTTCAACTTCGAGGTGCATTTCACTTTTACATTTTGTTTGTTTAAAGCCGCACTCGTCAGTATTTCAGCTTAACGGCGTTCTGTAAATAATCGAGTGATTGAAAACATGAGCATTGACCCTGGTAATGTGAATACGATTACAATCAAATAAATCGACCAGCATAACCATACAATCCACAATCCTGCATCATACATATGCTAATGACCCTATATTGTTAACCTGCTTATATCATTTGAAGACGGGTAATTACCCGTACCAATATTCCTTAATATTAACTGTTCTTGCTATATTCAGAATGGCTTTTAGAGTCATCCAGTGAGGTTTCGAACGCGTCAGAGATCCTACAATAAGTCCCCATAATGCTACTGTATTCCCTTATGAAAGTACAAGACCTTGTCAGTAAAGTGCGTGTCATACAGTAACTGCTGGTCATACATAAAGTGCTTGAGTTATAAACGTACGTGCTATACATAAAGTGCTTGTCATACATAAAGTGCTGGACATATGAAAAGTACGTGTTAAAGTGCTGGTCATACATAAAGTGCTTGAGTTATAAACGTACGTGCTATACATAAAGTGCTTGTCGTACATAAAGTGCTGGACATATGAAAAGTACGTGTTAAGTGCTGGTCATACATAAAGTGCTTGAGTTATAAACGTACGTGCTATACATAAAGTGCTTGTCATACATAAAGTGCTGGACATATGAAAAGTACGTGTTAAAGTGCTGGTCATACATAAAGTGCTTGAGATATAAACGTACGTGCTATACATAAAGTGCTTGTCATACATAAAGTGCTGGACATATGAAAAGTACGTGTTAAAGTGCTGGTCATACATAGAGTGCTTGAGTTATAAACGTACGTGCTATACATAAAGTGCTTGTCATACATAAAGTGCTGGACATCTGAAAAGTATGTGTTAAAGTGCTGGTCATACATAAAGTGTCTGTCATACATATAATGCCTGTCGTACATAAAGTGCTCAGATATACAAAGTCTCACCTGCTGAAAATACCTCTGATCTTCTTTTCCCACTCCAGTTCGAGAAGTGACCCCTCTATCCAGAACTTGCCATCCATGTGGCCGTACTCATACCCCTCCCTGCACGTGCAACGGTAGGAGCCACGTAGGAACTTGAAGCCCGCCAGGCGGCCGCACTAGGGGAGACAATTCAGACAAGTTGTGAATACACAATGTCATTCAAACCACAGCTACCTTACTAATAAGCCGGCAGTTCACTCGTCAGTAGTAGTAGCAGTAGTAGTAGTGACGGCAGTAGTTACAGATGTAGTGCAAGTTGTGGAGTCAGTCCACACGTGACATTCGTCAGTAGTAGTAGTAGTAGTGGTGGTAGTAATAGTAGAGTAGTAGTGGTAGTAGAGTAGTAGTGGTAGTAGTAGTAGTAGTAGTAGTAGTGGTAGTAATAGTAGAGTAGTAGTAGTAGTAGTAGTAGTAGTGGTGGTAGTAATAGTAATGGTAGTAGTGGTAGTGGTAGTAGTGGTAGTAATAGTAGAGTAGTAGTAGTAGTGGTAGTAATAATAGTAGTAGTAATAGTAGATAAGTAGTAGTAGTGGTAGTAGTAGTAATAGTAGAGTAGTAGTAGTAGTGGTGGTAATAATAGTAGAGTAAAAGTAGTAGTAGTGGTGGTAATAGTGGGGAGTAGAGTAGTGGTAGTAGTGGTGGTGTGGTAGGGTGGTAGTAGTGGTGTAATGGTGGTGGTAGTAGTGGTGGTGGTAGTAATGGTGGAGTAGAGTGGTGAGTAGTGGTAGTGGTGTGGTAGTAATGGTGGGAGTGGTAGTGGTAAGTGGTGGTGGTGGTGGGAGTGGTGGTAGTGAGTGGTAGTAATGGTGTGGTGGTGTGGTAGTGGTGGTGAGTGAGTGGTAGTGGTGGTGGTGGTGGTGGTGGTAGTGGGAGTGGTAGTGGTGGTAGTGGTGGTGGTGGTGGAGTAGTGGTGGGTGGTGGGTGGTGGTGGTAGTGGAGTGTAGAGTGGTGGTAGTAGTGGTAGTGGTGGTGGTGGTGGTAGTGGTGGTAGTGGTGGTGAGTAGTGAGTGGTAGTGGTGGTAGTGGTGGTGGTGGTGGTGAGTGGTAAGTGAGTGGTGGTGGTGGTGTAGTGGTGAGTGGTGGTGGTGGTGGTGGTGGTAGTGGTGGTGGTAAGTAGTGAGTGGTGGTAGTGTAGTAGTAGTGGTGGTGAGTGGTGTGAGTAGTGGTAGTAGTGAGGAGTAGTAGTGAGTGTGTAGTGGTGGTAGTGGTGGTGTGTAGTAGTGGTAGTGGTGGTGGTGAGTGGTGGTGGTAGTGGTGGTGGTGTGGTAGTAGTGGTAGTGGTGGTAAGTGGTAGTAGGTGAGTGGTGAGTGGTAGTAGTAGTAGTGGGTAGTAGAGTGTGGTAGTAGTGGTAGTGGTAGAGTGGTAGTAATAGTGGTAGTAGTGGTGAGTGAGTGTGGTGGTAGTAGTGGTGAGTGGTGGTAGTGAGTAGTGAGTGGTAGTAGGGTGGTGGTGAGTGGTGAGTGGTAGTGGTGGTAGAGTGGTGGTGTAGTGTAGTGGTAGGTGAGTGGTGTGTAGTAGTGGTAGTGGTGGTGAGTGTAGTGGTGTAGTGGTGGTGAGTGGTAGTAGTGGTGTAGTGTAGTGGTAGTGGTGGTGAGTGGTAGTGGTAGAGGTAGTAGTGGTAGTGGTAGGTGGTAGAAGTGTGGTAGTGGTAGTGGAGTAGTGGTAGTGGGAGTGGTAATGAGTGAGTAGTAGAGTGGTGGTGAGTAGAGTGAGTAGTAGTAGTAGTGGTAAGTGTGGTAGTGGTGGAGGTGGTGGTGGTAGTGGTGAGTGGTAGTGGTGGTAGTAGTGGTAGTAGTAGTGTAGTGGTGAGTGGTGAGTGGTGTAGTGGTGGTGCAGTAGTGGTGTGAAGTGGTGAGTGAGTGAGTGAGTGTAGTGAGTAGTGGTGGTAGTGGTGGTGGTAGTAGGTGAAGTGGAGTGGTAGTAAGTGGTGAGTAGTGGTGGTAGTAGTAGCAAGTTAGTAAGTAATAGTGTAATTAAGTAGTGTGTGGTAATAGTGGTAGTAGAGTAGTGAGTAGTATAGTGGTAGTAGTAGTAGTGGTAGTAGAAGTGGAGGTAAATGGTAGTAATAGTAAGTAGTAGTAGTAGTAGTGGTAGTAGTGGTGGTGAGTGTAGGTAGTGAGTGGGTAGTAGTAGTAGTGGTAGTAATGGTAGTAGTAGTAGTAGTAGTAGTGGTAGTAGTAGTAGAGTGAGTGTAGTGTAGTGGTAGTGAGTAGTGGTAGTGGTGGTGTAGTGGTAGTGAAGTAGTGGTAGTAGTAATGGTAGTGAGTTGAATAGTGGTGTAGTAGTGGTGTAGTAGTGAGTAGTAAATAATGGTAGTAGTGAGTAGTGGTAGTGGTAGGTAGTAGTAGTAGTAGTGGTGGTGGTGGTAGTAGGTGTGTAGTGAGTAGTTAGTGAATTAGTGGTGGTAGTAGTGAGTAGTAGTGGTAGTAGTAGTAGTAGTAGTAGTAATAGTGGTAGTGGTAGTGGTAGAGTAGTGGAGTAGTAGTGGTAGTGGTGGTGGTGAGTGTAGTGAGTGGTGGTAGTAGTGGTGGTAGTGAGTAGTGGTGGTAAGTAGTAGTGGTAATGGTAGTGGTGGTGGTAGTGAGTAGTAGTGTGGTAGTAGTGGTGGTGAATAGTGGTAATAGTAGTGGTAGTAGTAGTAGTAAGTAGTGGTAGTGAGTAGTAGTAGTAGTGGTGGTGAGTGAGTAGTGAGTGGTAGTGAGTAGTGGAGTAAGTAATGAGTAGAGTAGTAGTAGTAGTAGTGGTGGTGGTAGTGGTAGTGGTAGTAGTGGTGAGTAGTGGTAAGTGAGTAGTAGTGGTGGTAAGTAGAGTGGTAGTACTGGTGGTGGTAATGAGTGGTGTAGTGGTGAGTGGTGGTAGTAGTGAGTGGTAGTAGTAGTATGGTGGTAGTAGTAGTAGTAGTAGTAGTAGTAGTAGTAGTAGTAGAGTAGTAGTAGTAGTTGCAAGAACTTGAAGTACCAAGCTTGGACAATTCAGGAAGTGTAACCTGTCCTTACCTTGGTTGACCGTTGGTCACACCTAGCGGTATTCTTGAAGGCGTTAGCGACATAGAAGTTCTGTGGGCACTGGTTGATTTCCAGGAGGCCGAGAGGAACATCCACGGTTACAACACCCCTGGAATGAGGAGCATGTAGACAATAGTGTTTGTAGAAGACAACGACGATATGACGACCCTTAATTTTATGTACAAAATAAGTGACACCCCACCCCCACCCCACCCCCACCCCCATCACCGTATGTTATGAACAAAATCAATGCCAAAACCCACTCACACCCACACCAATATTTTTTAAGCATACAGTTTTAAAGATTTTTAAGTACAAAAGTGTTGACCACCCTTGTACATGTGTACAAAATTCATGACCCCACCTCCATCAAAATAGGTGGAAACGCCTCCCCTAAAAAAAATCCCCCTCACCCCTTTCACCGACCCCTGAATACAGCCCTGAATATAATAGTTCATAATCAGTGAGCGTAGCTCATGTTCAGTCGGGAAGATCTGCCACAAACTAGGTTCACAGCTGCCATTTGGTCCTTTTGCGCGTCTTCTATCGCTAAATCACCAAAGGAAATGAAAACGAGGCAACGACCTTCACCGATCAGAAGGTGAGAAGGCACTAGTGTTGCCGGTAGTGAGGTATGGGATCACTTGGTGTAGTACTTATTCTAAAAAAGGTTGTTCCTGCGTTTTCACTGCACACCTGCTGTCTATTTACTGGTAACTCATGAGAGAGCAAACATTGTCTAGACGTGGCTGGCACTCCTCGACACATTGTGCTAACATCATGTCACCGGCACTGTTGATTTACTAAGTGTAAGTTATTTTCTACAAGCACGCTAATAAATCACATCGAACTCTGAGCGGGTTCAAGTGACCCAGTCGTCGAATTCGGTGTCCAGAGCTGCGTGCCTTGGATGTGCCCGAAAGCTGGGATCGTGGGTTAGAATGTGTTGGATGATGACGTCAACGAATTCCGATTCTCTCGCATCGTCAACGAATTCAAAGCGTTGGAAGATTCATTCATTCACTCATTCATCATTCATTCTTTCAATCAATGAATCAACCATCCACCCACTCACTAACTCATTCATTCGACCACTCACTCACTCACCCAACCACTCAATCAATCAACAACTCACTAAACTACTCAACCGCTCACTCAACTATTCAATTACCCACTCACTAACTCATTCATTCGACCAACTACTCACTCACCCAACTACTCACTCAATCAACAACTCACTAAACTACTCAACCGCTCACTCAACTATTCAATTACCCATTCACTAAACATTCTGGAATATCCGGAATTCGTTGACTTCATCATCCAACAAACTCTGCTAGCGCAAACTCTCTCGCATCGAAGTGTTGACCTGAAGCAAAACATGTTTCGTAATCGTCCTTATTTATCGACTTTTTTCCAATTTTGCCATAATCTGAATTCCATATGTCTACGTGTAATAATCCTTCCTAGTATAGCTTTGATAATGCTAGTCCGCGTAGATACCATACCACCACGTAGATACCATACCACCACGCAGATACCATACCACAGCGGATGCCATACCACCACGTAGCCACCATACCACAACGCAGATACCATACCACCACGCAGATACCATACCACCACGCAGATACCATACCACCACGCAGATACCATACCACCACGCAGATACCATACCACCACGCAGATACCATACCACCACGGATGCCATACCACCACGTAGACACCATACCACAACGCGGATGCCATACCACCACGCAGACACCATACCACCACGCAGATACCATACCACCACGCAGATACCATACCACCACGCAGACACCATACCCAAGCAGATACCATACCACCACGCAGATGCCATACCATGCCACCACGCGGATACCATACCACCACGCAGATACCATACCACCACGCAGATACCATACCACCACACCAGATACCATACCACCACGCAGATACCATACCACCACACGATACCACCATACCACACACGCAGATACCACCACAGATGCCACCACCACGCAGACCATACCACCACGCAGATACCATACCATACCCACACAGACACCATACCACCACGCAGATACCATACCACCACGCAGATACCATACCACCACACAGATACCATACCACCACGCAGCCATACCATACCATGCCACAGATGCCATACCACCACGCAGATACCATACCACCACCACACAGATACCATACCATACCACCACACAGATACCATACCACCACGCAGATACCATGCGCATACCACCACGCAGATACCATGCCACCACGCAGATACCATACCACCACGCAGACCACCACAACGCAGATACCATACCACCACGGATACCATACCACCACGCAGATGCCATACCACCACGGATGCCATACCACCACGCAGATACCATACCACCACACAGACACCATACCACCACGCAGATACCATACCACCACGCAGATACCATACCACCACACAGATACCATACCACCACGCAGATACCATACCACCACGCAGATACCATACCACCACGCAGATACCATACCACCACACAGACACCATACCACCACGCAGATGCCACGCATACCACCCACAGACCACGCGCCATACCACCACGCGGAGATGCACCGCAGATACCATACCACCACGCAGATACCATACCACCACGCAGATACCATACCACAACGCAGATACCATACCACCACGCAGATACCATACCACCACACAGATACCATACCACAACGCAGATACCATACCACCACGCAGATACCATACCACCACGCAGATACCATACCACCACGCAGATACCATACCACCACACAGATACCATACCACCATATACCAACGCAGATACCATACCACCACGCAGATACCATACCACCACGCAGATACCATACCACCATACCACCACGCAGATACCATACCACCACGCAGATACCATACCACCACACAGATACCATACCACACGCAGATACCATACCACCACGCAGATACCATACCACCACGCAGATACCATACCACCACGCAGATACCATGCCACCACCACCACGCAGATACCATACCACCACGCAGATACCATACCACCACGCAGATACCATACCACCACGCAGATACCATACCACCACGCAGATACCATACCACCACGCAGATACCATACCACCACACAGACACCATACCACCACGCAGATACCATACCACCACACAGATACCATACCACCACGCAGATACCATACCACCACACAGATACCATACCACCACGCAGACCACGCATACCACAGCGGATGCCCAACGTACAGCCCCCTCAATGTCGCACCCCTTCCAGAGTAACACCAATTATTAACGCTTAACTTCCTTTGGTGGGAAGCGATCAACGAGATCAAACCGTGCCCAGCCATCCGACAGACTCTCTCATACACCAGTGAGGGGGTTTCTTATTTAAACTAATATTACCACTCATTTACCATTTACTCATGTTCTTTTGGTATGTAATAATACTCAGGGTTGAGACAACGCGTCATGCCACCTACCAGTTATTAATTGTCCATCAAAGCAAACCTGTACTTTATGTCAACGCCAAACATGAACCAATTATGTAAACTTGTTTTGGTCGTTCACATGCTTTTCTTGTTAAACAAATTGGTTGGTTGGTTTGGTTGTTCAGCGCAATCCAGTGATCAACAGCATGAGCATCGATCTACGAAATTGGGATGACATGTGTCAACCAAGTCAGTGAGCCTAACCACCCGATCCCGTCAGTCGCCTCTTACAAGCATGGGTTACTGAAGATCCATTCTCACCCGGTTGTTGATAAGAAAGCTCACCACTCACTCACTGCAACCCTTGTTTATAATGAAAATACCTTGTAAATGGGCCTACAGCCTGCACGTCAGACAAATAAAACACACCCAACACTCACTTAAACTTCAGCTTCCTCTTTAGCTGGTCAAGTCCAAAGAACGGAACCACATACGTCATGACCCATTCGTCCACCCTGCCATCACACTTGAACGTGGGCCTCCTCCATGTCCCGTCAGTATAGGCCGGGGCCTTGTAGCGCAGCGGGAAGTACTCATGTCTAACTGTACTGGTTCCTGCAGGATCGGACCTGATAAAGGATCGCATCTTGTAGGTCTTCAACCCATTGGTGTTGGTCCCCCATCTGGATTTCTCCTTCCGGAACCAGTCTTCATCCACGTATTGTTTCTTCAGACCCGCTGTGTCCACAGAATAGAAGCTCCCTGCTTTCTTATAAGCTAAAGGTCCGAAGAACTCTCTAACTGTCTCGTCCTGATTCACAAACTGGTTCCTGTCAAAGAACACCCCGCTGGAACGGATTTTGAAATTGCCCATGACGTTGGCGATGACCTCGCCGAAGAGGTGTTCAATATGGAGTCGTCCACCACCTTGTAGATTGCCAAAGTTTTCATTAGGATCAGTGTTTTGGAGGTAATTGCTGATGAAATGAGCTAGTCTTAACGCAGTCCTTGCCTCCATCTCAAACTGCTGGTCAACGCCATACCCGACATCTCCCGCCATTGTCAGCAAGGATGATTCTTTTGTGTGACAGTTTTCACCTGTTACGCTTTCCTTGTGTCGAAAGATGCTCATCATCCTGTCGAAAGCTTTGGGGTCAAATGCTGTGGATCTTTTTCTTCTCTTTTTTGTTACATTGAATGTGTCATGCCAATATTCCCTGAGTTCCCTCATTGTGTGTTTACTGATGTACTTCTGACGACCGTTTTGAAGTCCTTTTCGGATCTTGAGGACTTGCTTTGGGGTCAGCTTCCTGATAGTCAGGTGCTCGGGTTGAGGGTAGATGTTCGGGATGTTATAATAGCCGTAGTCTATGTTGCTGTTGCTGTTGCTGTTGGTCTCTTCTTGTTCAGACTTCACAAACACTTCCTCCTCGTAAGATTCATTGATTGATCGTAGACGGCGTGATCTGAACCGAAAATAAGTGGATACATGTATTTGTCATTAAGGGTTGTATACTGAACAAGACAAGTATTTGAAACAGTGCTGTAAACTGGATATGAATAGTGAGTGAGTTTAACGCCGCTTTTAGCAATATTCCAGCAATATCACGGCGGGGGACACCAGAAATGGGCTTCACACGTTGTACCCTTGTGGGGAATCTAACCCGGGTTTCGGCGTAACGAGCATACGCCTTAACCACTAGGCTACCCTGGGTTCGATTCCCCACATAGGTACAATGCGTGAAGCCGATTCTGGGATTTTGCAGGAATATTTCTAAAAGCGGCGTAAAACCATAATCACCTACTATGCCCTATTGGCCACATAAACTCAAGTACAAAAGAAACGCTACCAACTTTTCAAAATTACCCTGTGAAGAAACCACAAACACTAGAAACATGCAATAAAGTTTATTGAGACGACTGACATAAAAAGTTATTTGATGATTGTCAACAATTATAAATAACGATATGGTACCAATGTTACAGAGGATTCTTTTAACGACACTTCAGCAATTTCATTTTCATTTTTTTACACATAAACTTCTGCTAAAGAAAAGTCTATAGCAATGACTATGGTGAACTCTAGTAGCGAGTATGGCCTCCTCGCGCCTCAAGACATGCATAGACCCTTCTACGCATTGATGACGTCAGTCGTCTGACGTCAGCAGGTGGAATGTTCCGCCATTCTTCTTGGAGGGTGTCAGCGAGTTCTTGACGGTTTGTTGGGGATGTTGACGGCGCCGAACACGACGATCAAGAGCGTCCCACAAGTGCTCGATTGGTGACATGTCAGGGGAGCATGCTGGCCACGGAAGAACATTAACGTTGTTTGCTTGAAGGAAGTTCTGTGTAATTCTTGCCACATGGGGTCTTGCATTGTCATGCTGAAGCAGGATGCCCTGTTGGCGATTGCGCAGAAATGGCAGTACTGTGGGGCGAAGAATGTCATCGATATACCGTCTGGCCGTCAGGTTGCCAGTGACGATGACCAGTGGCGTCTTTTGTTCTCCACAAATGCCTCCCCACACCATCACACTTCCCATTCCATAGGGAACGACCTCCTGAACGCAACAGGCGGCCTGTCGTTCTCCAGTACGACGATAAACCCGTGCCCTGCCATCGTTTCGGTACAAGAGAAATCTGCTCTCGTCGCTAAAGAGCACTCGCTGCCATTGACGTCGCTGCCATCGTCGTACTCGCCGTACCCACTCCAGTCGTCTCTGTCGATGTGCCTGGGTCAGCCGCTGTCCCCGGAACGGTCTGTAAGCCCTGATGCCAAAGCTCTAAGCCGCCTGGTCACTGTGTGTCGACTGACACGACGACCTAACGCCAACGCCGCCGATGACGTCACCGTCAGGAAACGGTTGCGCAAGTGCAATGTGCGCAGGTACCGGTCCTCGCGTGGTGTTGTAACCCTGGGTCGGCCAGTTCTGGGTCTATCAGTAGTCTGGCCAGTCTGTCGATATCGTTGGACGAGTCTGGACACTGTTACGCGGTGACAGCCGAGGGTTTGAGCGACGTGGTCGTGAGTGGCGCCCATCTCCAACATTCCCAATGCTCTTTCTCGCTGCTGCGCTGTCAATCTCGGCATTCTTCTGGTGTCGTTTTGAGACAATGATGCTGTGCTTGCCTTCTGCATCGAATTTATACCCAGTCGAACGAAAATTGTATTTTAATGACTTAAAACGTGCATTTCATGTTTTTGTTTGGAAGTGTACAAAGCAAGGATTCTGTTCCAATTTTTGTTTGTAAACACCTAAGATGTGTTCGGGTGATATAGTTCCTGTACCTGGAAACTAAAATTTTTTTTTAGTAATTCATATTTTATAATTTTTTTGTTTGTAGCGTTTCTTTTGTACTTAAGTTTATGTAAGAAGTTTTTGGTCATTTACTTGAACCGTGAAGTCAAACCGCTGGTGCCAAGGTCCACGCCGCCACTGGTCAGGGTGTTGGACCCTCCTTCGATGGTCACGCCCTCTAGCGTATCAACAACCGGAAGTACCTGTCGGACTGGAAGGAAAACAACGCATAGGTGAATAACGAGCACCAGGAATCTTGAAACAGCATGGGAGTAGAAACATGACGGAATAGAAACATGGCGGAATAGAAACATGGCGGAATAGCCTCGTGATTTAAACTCAAATGTGAAATGTGAAATGTGAATGAGTCTGGTTTTAGACCACTTTTGGCAATATTCCAGCAAATAAAAAGATGACGTACGCAGACATGTGCCTCACACTTTGCGGGATTGTGAGAAATTGGTCCTTCTGAGCCACAAGCAAGCACTACACTACCCCACCTCCCCCTGGCACCCAAGACCTTGACTTCATAACCCGTATGTCTTCAGCAGCCCATGCTTGTCGTAAGAGGCGACTAACGGGATCGGGTGGTCAGGCTCGCTGACTTGGTTGACGCATGGCATCGTATCCCAATGATGTAGATCGATGCTCATGCTGTTGATCACTGGATTGTCTGGTCCAGGCTCCATTATTTACAGACCGTCGTCATAAAGCTGGGATATTGCTGAGTGCGGTGTTAAACAACAAAGAATATGTGTGGTCTTTCCTGTGGTGCCCCTCCTCGGTGTTACAAAAATATTGTGGAAACCATTCTCGAACCCTCAATTATTCTACATTTCACCTCACCTTACCTTGGTATCAACCGATCACTGGACCAAATGCCATTATTTACCGAATAGTATTTCCTGAGTCATAAAACAATAAATGTTCACTTACAGTCAGTGGACGTGCATTGGAAGCCATTGTTGTATTCCTCTTCGGTCGCTTGTTCGATGTCGCCGCCCTGGAAAGGGGGTCTATCCACTTGGGGTAGCTGTAGCCTGGACGACACACGCACACGTACCCACCACGCCTGAACTTGAAGCCAGGTTTGTGCTTGCACTGTGGGTAGGATAATACTGACATTGACTTACATTGAGTGAGTGAGTTTAGTTTTACGCCGCACTCAGCAATATTCCAGCTATATGGCGGCGGTCTGTAAATAATCGAGTCTGGACCAGGCAATCCAGTGATCAACAGCATAAGCATCGATCTGTGATGAACCGATGACATATGTCAACCAGGTCAGCGAGCCTGACTACCCGATCCCGTTAGTCGCCTCTTACGACAAGCATGGGTTACTGAAGACCAATTCTAACCCGGACCTTGACGGCTCACATTGACTTACAAACAACAATGTTCATAAAAATGTAAGTGTAGTTATTAGAAATAATTAATAACCGTCTGTTTTAGTAGAAGTACGACGAAACGACTGAGGTAATAATACAATGAACACGGATGATAAGATCCCAAGATGATTCCCTTACCTGTAGTTCGCCGTTTGTTTTTGTTTTGTTTTGTCTGGTGTGGAGTATTTTCCCTTCTTTCGTTTTGCTTTCATGATAGTTTGTTTTGTTTCTGGTTTCGTTTCGTTTCTGATTGTTTGTTTGTTGCCCCACAAGTTGCCAGTGAGTGAGTGAGTGAGTGAGTGAGTGAGTGAGAGCACCGGAAGGAGCAATGGGAGGTCGCCACTTGGAGCAATGATGAAAACTCGGACTAATCCTTAGTCTCTGAATATAAATAATTATGATAGAGACTAAGCGTTAGTCTAGCCCCTGACTTTCCTGATTCATCCGGGGCGGTTGGGTAGCCTAGTGGTTAAAGCGTTCGCTCGTCACGCTGAAGACCCGGGTTCGATTCCTCACATGGGTACAATGTGTGAAGCCCATTTTTCCGGTGTTCCCAGCCGTGATATTGCTGGAATATTGCTAAAAGCGGCGTAAAACCAAACTCACTCACTCACTCACTCACACTCACACACACACACACACACACACACACCTGATTCATCCGAAGGTGATACATGGTCACTTACACCTGTAGTCTTGGTCTTGCAGCGCGACACTCCGGACAGAAAGCTTGGACCTGGATTGCCTATACTGACCGGACATGCGTTGTAGTCTATCTGGTTGAAGTCGATGTCCATGGAGATCACGCCAACAAACCTGCAACCAAAACATGTAGTCCGTGAAGCGCGGGACACTTCGGTACGGAGTTCAACGTTCCTTGTTTGCCCTGAGCTGCTCTAATAATTTTGTGAGTGAGTGTAGTTTTACGCCGCACTCAGCAACATTCCAGTTATATGGCGTGCGGCGGTCTGTGAGTTGTAGTTTTACGCCGCACTCAGCAATATTCCAGCTATATGGCGTGCGGTGGTTTGTAAATAATGGAGCCTGGACAGACAATGAAGTGATCAACAGCATGAGCATCGATCTGATCGAATGACCCCCGCCCCTTGAATTTATGTACCAAGTACGTGAAAAGAAAAACCCTCTGCTCCCACCTCCCCAGAACAAAATGGGTGACCCCCATTAAAATCATCATCACCCCACCCGCACCCACAACCCCCAGCCATAAATTATAACAGTCCCCTAGACGACTGCCCACACACCAGATTACGCAGCTTTTAACAGTATTCCAGCAAAGTCCCGGAGGGACACCAGAAATGCGCTTCACAAATTCTACCTATAGTACAACCAGAAATTATTGAGAATTTAAGATTGTATTATTTTTTTTCACTCATTACTCACGTATTAAATGTGAATATTAGCAGATCATAACTCCAGATTCAAAGACAGGTGAACAGTTAGTATTTTGTCAAGTCACAATGGGCAGCAATGCAGTGTTCAATGCGGCGGGGCATACTACTGATCTTTCATTTCAGCAATATTTGTCAGATTTTTCTTATTGGCACTTTCCTTCATAAGTCCCCAAACATTTTCTATTGGATTTAGGTCAGGGCTATAGCTTGGCCAATCTAAAAATGTCATATTTTGGGTCCGAAACCAGGCCTGTGAATGCTTTGAACGATGTTTTGGGTCGTTGTCCTGCTGGAAAATCAAAACTTTCCATAGAACACGTGAGCAGATGGAAGTAAATGTCCCCGAGAATATCTGTGTACCGCTCACTGTTCATATTCCCTTCAAATACACAGAGGGGCGTTGCCCCTAACACAGATATGCCACCCCACACGTTAAATTTCGGACTGTACTTTGGGCGCTGATACAAAGGTTTTTCAGTTTGTTTGGTCCAGAATTTCAGTGTATTAGGAAACAGCCACACACAACTTTCATCTGAGAAAATCACATTGTCCTAGTTAAAATGTCTATGCTGTAAGCACCAGTTCAGACTTCGCTCCTTTTGTTCAGGTTTCATGATCGGTGATGGAATTTCTCGACGTTTCTGCCAACCCATTGCATGCAGCTCAGTTCTAATTGTCTCCTTACAGACAACCACAGTTCCTCTATCAATCATATCCAGCCTTAACTTTTCTAAACTCCTTCGTCTGTTTTTAGGAACAAGAATACCAAGCCGCCTCCTGTCACCGACAGTCAATTTTCTGGGCCTACCTGCGCCTCCCTGGTGCTCAATGCCATATCCATTTGCAATATTTTTCAAAACACGATAAACAGTTGACAAAGGGATTCCTGTTCTACTTGAAATCACTTTAGCTGATCTGATGTCCTTGTTATAATACTTCCTCTTCTCTAAATCATCCATACTGAGGATCACTGAAAATGTCGTCTTCTAGCAAGTAAGCAAAGGGGGATAACTCTTCACAAACTAATGAAAAAGGATTAACGGAGTTGTCTCTCTTGAATGAAACCAAGCACCTGATAGCTGGTCAAGGTTGTTTATACTAGAAATCCAATTAAACATATTCCTAAAATTCTCAATAATTTCTGGTCATACTATATTTTATGAATTGAACCCGGGTCTTCGCGAGGGAGGAGCGATCATTTTAACCACAAGGCTACCCCACCGCCCGAATCAGTAATGAACAGAATTTGATTTGGACCAAAATCTGTCAATATCATTATGAATATATAATCCGTAAATCATGACCTCATATCACTCGTCCATCACACCAGCTCACCTCTGCCGCCTGAGATGTGTCCAGTTGGAGTATCTGGGCATGTAGTCTACCACGGGAGAGGTTGCACTGACAATCCACTTGTTGGATCGCCCACAGTCATAGTAGGGCCTGGTCCAGACGACCGGCAACATCCGGTCATCCTTCTCGTTCTGACTGGGGGAGGACGGGCCGAAGAAGTTGCTGGCTAGGAACTCCTTGTGGGTGAAGCTGCCCGTCCCGTTGGAGTACCTGATTGGGGGAAGCAGTTAGAGCGTGAGATGGGATTATTTGTTTGTTTTGTTGTATAACGCGGTACCCAGCTGTATTCCAGCTTTTTGGTGACGGTCTGTAGATAATCAGGTTTGAATCAGACAATCCAGTGATTCGCATTACGATGAACGCAATGTAACGTCATGCATCAACCAATTCTGCGAGGCTGATCACACGATCCCGCTAATCGCATTTTACAAAAACGGATCTTCGTGGATATTGTAGAGAGTGAATTTAGTTTTTAGGCTGCTTTTTGCAATATTCCAGCAATATCACGGCAGGGGACACAAGAAATGGGCTTCACACATAGTACCAATGTGGGAAATCGAACCCGGGTCTTCAGCGTAACGACCGAACGCTTTAACCACTAGGCTACCCCACCGCCCCTTTATTGTTTCAGCGTTTGGGTTACATCATGCGGGAGGATAGCCCGAACTGTCACACGTCCGAGGTATTTACCACTTCAGTGAAACATACGAGCACTGGGACGGTTACTGACTCGGGTTTTAGATTTTTAACAGCTGAGAACTTTCACAGCTGCAAAATCACATATATATTTTTGTCATTAAATGTATGAAATCTTTGAAGGGCATTTAGAAGAGGAATGCCTATAAGAAAAGCAAGATTTATGGAAGTCAACTTCTTTATTGTGAATAACACGACGTTTCGGATGAAGGAGCAAGCATACGTTCCGAAACGTCGCATTGTTCACAATAAAGAAGTTGACATCCATAAATCTTGCTTTTCTTATTAAATGGCTGAACCTAAATATATTTTATTCCGTTGCCTAATCATTTTTTACAAACACACTCGAGGACAATTGTTACTGATTAACCCACTGATTAACTTGATATCACTCATCTATTTTATATCTGCAATCTTGTTTGTCAAATTATTCGATATGTGATGATATCGCCAATAATTTTACGATATATACTACCCATCAAAAGTTTAGACTCACTAGTGTAAATGTAGCCAAATGTACATGCATACATACATACATACATACATACATACATACATACATACATACATACATACATACATACATACATACATACATACATACATACATACATACATACATACATACATACATACATACATACATAAATACATACATACATATAGTGAGTGCTTTAAGTGAGTCTAAACTTTTGATGGGTAGTATATATATAATCGATTATCGTGAAATCTTTCACTCATCTTTTTATAAAAAAAATCAATTATTGGTATCAAAATGATAAATGGCAAAACAACATCACTAACCTGATTCCGACATTGTAGGTGTACTTTGTTAGAGAGTCCATGTCTCCAGCAATGTCAGGTAGCCATTTCTCATACCAAGGATTCATCTTGAAACCGGAATTGGAATAATCCGACCCTCGGCCAGCGCCGATGTCGTTAATCATGACCACCCGTCGGGTAGCTTCTCGGAGATAATTATCCTGATCATTGTAGTCATCCCATCTCCATGCTTTGGGCGCGAACCTCGGCAGGGTGCTGTTGAAGTTGACGGTCGTGTACCAGTTTGGGTAGGAGCAGTTGGTGTCGAAGTAGATGGCGCTGCCGTTGAGACCGTACGGGTTGGCGTTGACGTCTGCCGCCACAGACATGTACATGTATAACCAGTTTGGCATGATTCTGAAGTTGGTCGTGTCGTTCATCTTCTGCAGGATGTAGCTGAAGAAGAAGGCACGGTTGAGCGCCATGTTGTGGAGGTGGATCAGGGCGGTTCTGTTGACGTACCACGCCTGGGTTAGAAGCTGGTTGTATTTCGGCAGCTGGGATACAGCATCTTCTCTGAAGTACAAGTCGTCTTTGGACTTGGACTTGCAGTTCTGGCCGTTCACGGAGATGAATTGGGCGTCCAGTTCGTCGAAACTGTCATACCTCATCCATTTGTATTTCCCGCCATGAACGCACTCACGTGCTAGGTACAGGGACATAACTAGCAGGAGTACGCATGCGTGACGCATTGTGATATCACAAATATGGCAGATGTTCGCTAAAGTGAATGCAGATATTTCACAGGAAGCTGATGGTCATTATTCTCTGTTGAAATTATTCCCAAGTTGTACTCACATCACATTAGGACGTTTGTTCTGTACCTGCAACAGAAAAGTAAAGTCAGGTAAGTTAATGAAAGCTGAAAGAAATATGCACAAACACAATCGCAAACGCCCGTTAGCTCTAAATTCATTGATTTGTGTAGAAAAACGTGCAATTCTGTCCAAGTATAAACCGTGCTGGTTGCCTTTTTGGCCACAATGGAGCAATGGGGTAGCCGAGTGGTTAAAGCGTTCGTCGTCACGCCGAATACCCGGGTTCGATTCCCCACATGGGTACAGTGTGTGAAGCCCATATTTCGGGACTCCGCAGTGCTGGAATATGGCTAAAACCTCACTCACTCACTTTTCGACTAGCATACGGCTTCGACCTGAAAAAACGGTTTCTCTGTATTTTCTGAAATGTTCATAACAAAGCGGTGTGAACGTCTTCATGATTGTAGAGGCCTTTCGGTGTTGACTGTATCAACTATGGAGCGAATAATCAACACTGTAACACAGAACGACGGATTCACCGAGCAGAGTTGTGTACCCTGGATGTTCCAGAAACCGATTATCGTAGGTTCGAATCCCGAATCCGCCCTCCATTTAGGTTTTTCAGTACCATTCGGTGGTCATGGTTTTCAACAAAGCGTAAAATGTCTAAGATCCACTTCACTGCGAACTTTTCCTCCCACAGCAAGATGACTGGTTCTGATATAACTGAAATTTGGCACAAAACCAAAATCACTCAAAGAGAATGCGCCTTTAAGATTCAGGCGAGAATTAGTCTTCCGTGACCTTTGCTTACTTATACTAACGGGAATAGCTGGTCAGGACGCTGACCTCGTTATGTCATCGTAAATCAGTTGCGTAGATCGATGCCCGTGGTGTCAATCACATGATGTTCTGGTTCAAACTAGATCGATTTGGGACCGCCGTCATAAAGCTGGATTATAGCTGAGTGTGGCCACAAACCACAAACAAAACAAAGTGAAAGCATGTACATAACATCCACATGCCACCCAATGGCTTGACACAGCTTCAATCAACCCAAACTGCGTGATGTTGTCATGGACGACGCGTTAATGATGAAACCGTTGAAGAACCTCTGCCTTGGTCGAGTTTTCGTCCGTACATTGGTCGGATTGTTCGTTATGCATATCGTTATTCATTGGATGAGTAACCCCCAAATCCGTTCATTAAAAAAATTCACGCCACACAGCTGCCTAACTCACGTAATGCACGTGCAAGTGTATTTCGTACGTGCATTATGTTTGAAAGCCATGACCATGATTAACCGCTATTGTGACCTGTCTGCACTGAGCATATGTATTCATTTTCATATGCCCGTACCTCTTCACAACACTCGCCACTGTCAATAGAGCCAACTGTCGAGTAGAGTTTGATCAACGTATTCGTTCCATTGAACAACTTACATTTCCGTGTAATCGTGAGTTACGATAAAATATGATACGAGTGAGTGAGTGAGTTGGGTTTTACGCCGCTTTTACCAATATTCCAGCAATATCACGGCGGGGGACACTAGAAATAGGCTTCACACATTATACCCATCTGGAGAATCGAACCCGGCTCTTCGGCGTGACGAGTGAACGTTTTAACCACTAGCCTACCCCATCTCTCCCAAATATGAAACGATCGTTTATACTGGGCGAATGGATGTTGTTTTAAGCCACATGCACCAACACTCCAACTGCATCACCGCGCCCTCTAAACAACCGAGTGCAACGTGTTGTTTCTGCAACCCTGAAAGCCTAAAATTATCCAGCAGGGGTCATATAAACTAGTGGGACACGGAATGCCTGCCCTCATTAAAGGGACACGCTTCGAAATGGATATCATCTCTATGTCACACAAGCGGATTTGGGTCCTTATTGTGCCTCAGTAGGGCATGTTTGCGTTAGGGCTTGCTCCGTTGTGAAATGACATGAGGTGAAGGTTTGGGTATCAAAACAGCTCGTTCATTCAAAGCATTTGTTGGGATATTTCCTTCAGCTAGTATGCAGGTCAGTTCAGGTGTCTGCTGTATAATTGTACCTCTATGCAAGCCGCAGAACATGCAACTCGTGCAATGTACGTGTAGTACTTGTTATATATGAACAGCACTTGAAATGTACATACAACTCTTATAATGTACATGCAACACGGGTAATATATATACAGCACTTATAATGTACAAACAATACTTGTAATGTACGTGCGTCACTTGTAATATATATGCAGCACTTGAAATGTACACGCAATACTTACAATGTACAGGCAACACTTACAATGTACATGCAACACTTGTAATATATATGCAGCACTTGTAATATATATGCAACACTTGTAATATATATGCAGCACTTGTAATATATATGCAGCACTTGTAATATATATGCAACACTTGTAATATATATGCAGCACTTGTAATATATATGCAGCACTTGTAATATATATGCAGCACTTGTAATATATATGCACACTTGTAATATATATGCAGCACTTGTAATATATATGCAGCACTTGTAATATATATATATGCATGCAGCACTTGTAATATATATGCAGCACTTGTAATATATATGCAGCACTTTGTATATATGCAATGTACGCACTTGCAACATATGTAATGTAATATATATGCAGCACTTGTATAATATGCAGCACTTGTAATATATATGCAGCACTTGTATATATGCAGCACTTGTAATATATATGCAGCACTTGTAATATATATGCAGCACTTACATGCAGCACTTGTATATATAGCACTAGCTGTATATACACACTTGTATATGTGCAACACTTGTAATGTACGCTTATGCAACACTTGTAATGTATTATGCAACACTTGTAATATATATGCAGCACTTGTAATATACCTGCAGCACTTGTAATATATATGCAGCACTTGTAGTGTGCATGCAACACTTGCACTGAATGAATTGAGTTTCGTAGAATTGAGCAAAATGGTTTTACATGTTACTTTTAACGTCCTTAACACGTGGTTTATCTGACATCTCATATTCCAAAATGTTATTTTTTACTTTGTTGTGGCTGTACCCTATACATACAATAACTATGTACATATAGCGACCCTTAAGCTCCATTTAACATGTTTACATAGAAAAGGTTAGTTTTTGTTAAATTTGATCAGTGATGTTTTAGAGGAAAAAAATAGTTTTTGTTTTCGAAGTGACACGTTCATATTGACATACAGAAACTTACTTTGCTCCGCTTTTATTAGCGGTTTCTTAAAGTGTCCTTGCTGCTTAATTTATTTAAATGAATGTAACAGTCACATTGTGGTTTCTTTGCGTCATATGATTTGAACCAGCAATGGAGGGACATAGAGTTCTACCAATGTATCAGCGAAAATGTGAGGTTTCTTTCAAAATGAGGACAATAAAATAAAAGTGACAAAGCCTTTCCAATTTCATGAGGAAATGTTTTCTAAAAGCAGTGTTTATTGCAAATTCAGACAGTATCATGACTGACTGACTGAGTTTGGTTTTACGCCGCTTTTAGCAATATTCCAGCAACATCACGGTGGGGGACACCAGAAATGGGCTTCACACATTGTGCCCATGTGGGGATTCGAACCCGGGTCTTCGGCGTGACGAGCCAATGCTTTAACCATTAGGCTATCCCACCGCCCTACAGTATCATGAGCATTTGATAACAAATTATATGTTTTAATATAATTCGTGCTTACTTCCATAAGATACGTATTTGGTGATCAACTAGACTTGCACAAGTCTCTAAGGCAAAAATTAATAGTTTAAATGATAATTTCTATAAAAAAATATTAAAAAACAGACTGGGCTCCTTATATTCCGCTTATCGGGACTTGCCTCTTCGAAGGATAGAATTACTACATATCCACGGGCTCAGCCTTCAGTACAGCCTTGGAGCAAGGCTAGTGCTCAACTTAAAGGTTACATTGTAGCAACATGTTGGTTATATCTTAGACGCACACCCTTACAAGTATTGCAGTTGACTGCAATAATCCTAAAACTAAATGAAATAGCACGCGGAGTATAAATCCAGATAAGCCCAGGCAAATACGTCGATATAACAGGACTACAAGATTAAGAAAAGCATGCAGCTGAAACATTATACCTGACTAAAACAGTACAAACATTATCAAAACATTACCAGGCAGAAAGCAGTCGCTGAATAACAACTAAAATAAGGTCCACAACACAATGCATTTAATACATCACCATTTAATAACATGTTTATATTTAGCCACCATCATACAGTGGTGTATACTTTCTTTTGTCCAACGGTATATCTTGATAGCAAACAGTCATATCCAGTTTAAGTTGGAAACATTAACACTAAGCCGTCTCGGCCATTCAAAATTGTGTTAATCCATTTAATCTGGACCATCCGGGTCACACGATGGGCTAAATTCCAACATGGCGGCCAAACATGCAAGTGCAAACATGCGCGCTGGACATTAGAGATGCCGCTGTTTGCGGATGTGCTGATGGGGTCGACTAGACGGAGCTCGGTCCAGACGAATGGGTGATAGGCTCTGAAATGTGTCTTGTAATATGTAAGATATGCGTGAAATGTCGTGTAAAAGAATCTGTCACTTCTGTGGGTCTTTGCGTTTAAAAAGTGTGGAAATACCATACATGTTCCTTGTATTTTCATTCATATCATTTCGTTTGTATTGAGACCCGGGGACAAGTGGCTTAAACAGAAACGTGATATGGTAAACATTGTTTAAAACTTAAAGTATTTCCTAACGAATATAATTGTATTACAATTACAACTATTACTCTAGTGCTTCAAGAACACATTGGTAGATGGAATGTATGTGTTTTAGGATTTGCATAATACTTTTCAGGTATATACTTTTGACGTAGGGTTGGGTAATAATTTCATGTCGCACAGATATGTATTTAACTGCTAAAGCTGGAGAGAAGCAATACAGAACAGTTCCCATATCAAGGAATGCAACCTTAATTTCATAACAAAGCAACTCTGAGTCTGGGGATATAGCTTTACCACTGAACAATTTGCCTGCAACTAAAGACTGTAAATTA